ATCAGACTGCCGTTCGTCACATCTCTCCTTCCACGCCTGTCCAGAATTGATGCAACTTTGAGAGAGGTTTAGTTATTATTATATCTACCTTTCTCATTTTTCTTAAAATTTTTAAAAAATTTTTGTAAAAAGATAATTGGCGTTCTCGAGTAGTTCAGTTTGTCTTATGAATATTTCGCTATCCCATAATTTTTTCCTTCTCTTTTATAAAAAGTGGGTTGAGGAAAAGTCTAGGCCGTATCACAACCCTTAAGTAAACGCAAAAAAAAAAAAAAAAACCACTGTCCAGCTGCCCTGATTCAGCGGGTCCCCCACAGAGCCACAGGGCCCTAAGATTTCTAGCACATGCACGAATGGTATTGAATTGAATCGTATTGGCATTGGCATGTTTCTTGTTTTTTACCTTTGCTTCTGATTCAGTTTTGCACAGGGTCCATGTATACTACCTAAACTATCGTTACATTGATGTTTTTCTTTATTCCACGTGAATATGGATATAAAATGTTGTGCTAGCAACCGCAATCCCGCAATCACGAACGACGATTGACGAGAACCTACCTAGAGTAAGAACAGTCACGACAATGCTGTATTCAGTTTCACATGACCTAAACCGAAATTCAGAAAGACACCATTCAATTGTCGACCAAACTTCAACTTTCGACTAGCCGTTATGGATACCGGTGATTATCTTTCCAACACAACCCAACGGTGGATGTTTGGTTCATGTTGATCGATGATGGATGGTATTTCTGTCTTTGTCCATCTCCCATGAACACCTCGGGTTTATTGCCGTGGTTTGCTGACTGAGCGAGTGTATCTTTTGGCGCTTACTTCCGTTAAGTCCTTGGTAAGTTGAGTTGATCGTCATCGCACCTGCTGATTACCATAATGAACAGACAGTTGGATGTTCTCTTCCGCTTCTCAACATTGCGAATCCGTCAACGAACTTGCAGGATCTGAGGTCTTGCTTGCGAGATTTCGGTCGGCCCACTCAACCACAAGGAGTCAAGCTGATGCTCATGCCGCAGGGTTCAGGGACCGCCGCTCGCCGATAAACAAAGACGATCAATCTGAAGGATGAAGCTGATATCTGAACTTCAACAACTACTTAGCTCCCTAGGTAGTAGATGTACCCAGAACCCTAGCTTGTCTAGCTTACATTGGTAAGCAAGCATTGACCGGAGGTTCATCCTACATCTTGGTACCACAACCAAACAAGTCTTCAGGGTCCATTCAAAGTCTGGAAACACGAGAACGGTATTGTACGGGGGTTGTCAGGGTCCGAAGGTCTCTGCAAGACTGCAACAGGGGGTTCCCGCTTCCACAATGTCATTCGCCGTAGCGTAGCAATTGCCCCTTGCAGTGCCACAGGGCAACCAGGAAGTGGCATTCCCCATTCCCGAAGACTGGGCACACACAGTTCGGGTCCAGTGGGGGCAGTGGGGCACCCGGACTATGCACATGCCCGCGGCGGTCCGTTGTTGTCACTGCACCCGACTGCACATTCAAAACGTCGAGGGTTGCCAGCTTTGTGGTTGGTAGAGGTACTCTTTTGGTTATTCGCGAAAGTTCGAGCAGCAACTTCCAAGGTTGCTACACGTATTAATTAACGGACAAGGTACGGTAGTTCTGTTTCATTGGGTTCCTCGGCCGTTGCCGCAATCCCTATGCAAGGTAGTTGAACAGCACTGGACCACCCTGCTGTCGCTGCTTTCTCTTTGGGCGGTTCGAGGGATGTACACTACAGTAGGGTACTTTCGAGATAGCTCTCGAAGCCTTGGCAACACCCACCCCCTTCAGCCAATCAGACCTGGCCGGAGCAAATGCTCCTGAAATGATCCAGGCACCCGAGTATCACAATGACGGTTCTCGAAGTCGACTGAACTTTTTTTTTTTTTTCTTTTTCCACTTTGTCAATTGTAGGTTGCGGCGCGAGGAAATAGGGAGAGAGAAAAATGGAACTAGGCTTTGCACGACTTGCGAATCAAACCGGTCGGACGGGGCTCTTGTATATACCGCTCCTTCGGGTTTTCCTTGCCATTTCTCAGCCATGAATCACCCAGTACCAAACCGGCAGACAGGTAAACACCGGCACCGGCCTTGACCCGACTCAGTCTCCGTCAAGCACTGTTGCCCTTTCTTCTTTCAGTCTTTCAGATGGAGCTCCCCTTTTGCGTGTAGTGTCACACACATCCAGTACGCTGGTGTCGTTCACCCCAAAACGCCATACCACACAAACCCCTTCCACCAGCAGCTCGACCCAAGCTTGAGGCGCTTCTTTCTCTACCTTCAAAGGCGTGTTGCGTGTTCTCCCATTCCCAGTCGACAAGAGGAACTCGGTTGCTTGATGAACCCGACGCTATAAACAATAACCCCAGCGGCTAGCGGACCTTCCACCAGTCCGGGTCTCATTGTTTTGTTACCGACTCGCTTGCCTATTTGAGGATCGATACACACAAACAGCAACCCAAAACGCAAGCCCCCCCCCTCCCCATCTATCACGCACACTGTTGGAGCCCCGCCAAGCCCTCCCTTTTCCCCAACATCCAGAAAGGGTTGGTCGCTGTGTCATTCCTGCCAGACCTCTGCTCCAAAGCACCCCATCGTTCTATCACCCCTGGCCGTCTCTTTCTGAAAGGGTACCCAATATCGTACCACACTGAGCCAGCCGTGTATCAGTCTATCAGCAGCAGCCACACCACCAGCAACCCGTACCACACAGCTCGGGAGAGGATAGCCTGCACACAAGCCACACCACCGAAAAAAGACGAAAGCAGACCATCAACAGCCTCGACGTCGGATGCAGCCCATGTTGCCCACAGATCCGAACATTACCGTCGACACCTTGTTAACCCGTTGCTCCTCGTCCGATTTAATGTGCATCGAGCACGTTACCCATGACTGCGCAGCCTGCGGAAAAGACTACTTAGTCTACGTCGAGTTTTGCAAGGAATTTCATCCACCACTGACCCGTTGCCCAAACGGAACCATTCGACAGCGCATGGACATGGATGACGGAGGCTGTCCGAGCCCTACTTGTCCAAATAGTCGGCACGGGGGCTGCAATCTCATGTAGTCTAGGTTGGTCCGAGAAGAGAGCAGCGGCAGCACCATCACCACGTCCAGAAAGACAGCAGCAGCAGCAGAAGCACCATAGGCGGCGTTGGCAGAGAGGCCTACACGAAGAGCTCTTAGAGGTTATCGGTGACCTCGACAATCTGGTCGATACCCTCGTACTTGGGAAGGTCGAAGTCGTACTTTTTCGCAATCGACGGAGCGACGAACCTGGTTACCACATCAGCCACACCACTAGCCAACACCATCAAGACCCACACAAGGTGACGATGAAAGGAAACATGGTACGTACCGTCCTCCCACGAAATGGCGGCCCTTGAAGTGCTTGACCAGAGGTTTCGGAGCCGTCAAGCTAACCAAGACGTTAGGGTAAAAGTTGCTGCCCACCCCGGACTTGGGCGGTCCTTCGTGAATGTCCCAAGACGATGGCGCATCTACCGAGGTCACCGGAATATTTGTCTCGGCCATGGCGTTGATGACGGCAGGGAACGGCTCCCGAACCTCGCCAGCGAAACTGAAACCTAGACGCGGGCATCAGTCAACGTCGGGGGCAAGCCATGGCCTCGGAAAACATACCAAAGATGGCATCGACGACGTGGTCAGTAGACTCGAGAGCAGCGGGGAAGTCGTCGACAAAGGGTATCTCTAGGTCTTCGCATTGTTTGACCAGGCGCTGCGGAGACGGAGGCGCGTTAGCATGAGGCCCATTACATCAGATACACGATACGATGAATAAGGCTCTCAACATGTTTATGCATGTAACAAAAGGGTCTGTCGGGTCGGATAGGGGGAGACAGATATTGTATGGACAACAAGTATGGCACCCAGAAAACTCTGGGCCCGAGCCCAATAGACTTTTTGATCTTGTTTCTCGTCTCCGTGAGTGTTGCCATCAAACGTTCTTGGTCTCTTGGAAGACTTGTCCTGTGACCTGTCTCTCCCAGCTTGTATTCCTTTGGACGCTTGCCGCGAGGCACTGTCGACATTCACGCTGCATCCGGCACACCTCATCGAAGGGAAAAGGTGAGAACCGCTCACCTGATAAAGTTCGTTCTTGGGTCGCTTCGGATAGTAGATGGCAGGTTGATATCCGTAGTGGAAAAGATGTCGAGCAGCCACGAGGCCATCACCCCCTGACAGAAGGTAAGCGCTTGGACCACTCAGCCCCTGAAGGACCCAAAACCTGAGCGACTAACCATTGTTTCCAGGGCCAACAGCGACCAGCACTCGGCGGCCTTGCTTGATTGGGTGCACTCGGGCAACTGTATATAAGAGAAAGATGGTTAGCAACTTTGAGAATGAAGATGGGGATGCAAAAATACAGACCAACTTGAGAAACCGAGAGGCCTGCGAGTTCCATGAGCTGGTCGAGGGAAAAGGCCCCCGTGCTCATAAGCTCGCGGTCGAGAGTAGCGGCAGCCTTTGCAGAAAGGGTCTAGAGGTTCGTTAGCGTCTTGTGGGCGTCCATGGGGAAATATCTGGTTCCCGCGCCTGGAAGCTCGTTGTGTGATGCATCGATGGTTCATTGGTGTTGCACAAGGCCTGCGGGGAGTCTGAGCTGCGGCCGAAAACCAACAAGCTCCGTCTCCATCCATGTTTCTTCTGTTGGCTTTGCGCAACCTGACATGGCATTCATTGTACATACCTTGAGCGCCATGATGGAAGAAGGCTGTGTGTCTGGTGGTACTGATTGTGGACGCAGCGGATATATTTACTAGACGACAAGACGAGTTGCTGGACGACACGTGCGGTAATCGAGGACGAGGCAAAGCTCTTGGGGTGGAAATGAAGGGAAAAGACGTGGTGGTATTGAGACTAGTTTATAGATGCTAAAGGGTACGTCTTTGACTTTGAAGCTTCAAGCTTGACAATGAGGCACAGAGCAATGATGGAAAAATATTTGCAGGGCAATGGAATTGGAATTGGAGAAAAAAATGGAAGGAATGGAGTGCCTCTGAGTGAGTGCCCCAATCGCTCCCTTTTGCATTTATTGCGGGCAGGTGCTACTACTGACATCACCCTCTTGCTCAATTCAGGCACCTGGTCGTCGATCCAGTGCATCATGATCCCACTCCGTGCGGTCGTGCCTGCTGCAATAACTGTGAAGTGGCGTGGCTGACACTAGCAAAATGAATGTGGCTTGAACTGGAACACGGTGGCTCGTGAAATAAAAGTGTACGTAGAGTAACCCTTGGGCCACTTGCCTGCCGGGATACCAGCTTCAGTTAATGAGCGATCCGGCAATCAAAGGCGCGACACTCGCCGACGTCCACGCAATTCGCAAAAGATTCGAGATCTCGAACCTCGTCGGCGACAACCCCTCCACCAACCACCACCACCACGCTTGTCTGTCCAGCTCCCTCCGATACCCCCAGATCTAAGATGGTCCTCAAGCTCAGACTCGCCCGGTTTGGGCGCAGGAATGCCCCCGTCTACAACGTTGTTGTTGCCCACGCCAGGTACGGAATTTTCGACTGCGACGACAACAACAGCCAGCCAGACAGCTAATACTCTCCCTAGAACCGCCCGCAACAGCAAGCCTCTCGAGGTCATCGGCACATACGACCCCATTCCCAAGAAGGACACCTACGACACCTCGGGGAAGTTGCACAAGGACATCAAGTTGGACCTCACGAGGGCCAAGTACTGGATTGGTGTGGGAGCTCAGCCGACCGACACTGTTCGGAGGTTATTGTCCTATGTACGTCTTGTCCTTTCAAGGTTCTGTATTCTGGAAGATGTCTCCGCTAACCATACAATCACCCACGGAACAGGTCGGTATCATGAGGCCCAAGTACAAGAACTCGACGCGGGGGCAGATCGAGCAGAAGACCGACGCTTGAGCGAGCAATGCACCGAGCGAGATCGCATCTTTTCAATCCGTACCACCAGATAAACTCGAGTTCTTCCACACCGGTAATGCTCGCATACCGAACTACACAACACCATCATCTGATTACTCCATGTACCACAACCGGCATTTCTTTCAGGCGTTCCATATCTTTAAGGGTTTTATCAAAAACATGGTAGCTGCTGTACAATAGCTCGACATGAATAAAGAGAAAAGCAACTGTACAACAACACACGAACCACGACCTGCTGAAGCCTGGGGCTTGTGAAGCGGACAGAATGGGAGTGTGGAGCGTGGAGCGTGATTGCGAGGGACGGGAGAAGCGCAGAGCAGAAGACCGGTGACGTCGGCGGTTGGCCTGGAACTTTGCAAGGCTTGAGGACTACTCTTTCGGCAGAGGCATAACGGAGGACGTGTGACCTTCGCGAGGCCAGGTCGATACGGTTCCCGGATGGATAAAAGGGTGCGATTCGTGCTGGAACATCAGAAACACGAATGCAACAAAGGCAGAAACCAACTCAAGAATTGGAGCCGAATGTTCGGACCATGCCTCCATTGGCGTACGTAGTCACGGAAACGGTCAGGGTCAGATATGCAAAGTGTCAGCCCGAAATACTGCCTCCTCCGGGCCCCAGAGCGAGATACACCAGAGTTCAGGACGGAATTTCTTTATTGTCAGTGTAGGCGATTGAACATGGACTCAGCGTACTTCATTCGGACCGACGACTCACAAGGAACGAATAACAGGGTAGACAGCAGCATACATTATGTTGCTGGACTTCTAACTTTCAAGTGTCTCTTCTTTGTTCATATCTATATGCGCTTCACTAATGCATTTAGTTAGCAACCTCTATTATCTCTTGCCAACCGATTTGCTGTGGCTTACGTCTGTTTCGTATGTTTCTCCGTCAAGCCTAAATACCAAAGCAAACGCTCCTTCGAACTATAACTGCCGCCATTGTCGTCTTTGTCCACGAAATAGTTCTCCCTGTATGGAATATATGTCCATTCTCGATAAACCCCAAATTCCCATTTCCAAAGCAAACGCTGCTTTCGAACCATGACTGTCTTTATCTTCAACGTCCTTTGCTCGGTAACCGAACATCTCTCGCTGATGTGTATGTCTTCTTCGTGATCAAACCCCAATCCCCAATCCCAAAGCAAACGCTCATTCGAGCCTTGACTGCCTTCATCGTCCTCCGAGTCAGCTAACCGCCCCGTCTCCGCTTATGTGTGTTTCTTATGCAGTGTTTCTCGATCAAACTCCAATACCAAAGCCAACGCTTGTCCGAACCGAACCCTAATCACACCCCAGCCCTTCCATAAGTAGTCTTCACTCGCTCATCTTCTGGCGCCAAATACCCCTCAACTCTTCAGAGATGACGGCTTCCGCATCGGACCAAGAACCGGCACGCTCGTGGGTGCTGTTTTTCTCAGTGTTTCCACCATTCTCAAGCTCGACGGCGTCGTCTTCGTGTTGCTGCTCATGACCATCATCAACCTCCATGGTTTTGACCTGCTGCTGACTCGGTTTCTCCATCCTAGTGCTGTCAAGTGGAAGCGAGAAGGTACGAGCTCTGTTTCTGGTTCCGACGGTGGTGTCGATACTACCGGGATCCGTTTCGTTGGAGGTATCCAGGGTAGGTGAGAGTAAAGGTTCGCTCGTCTCGACCTCGGGAACTGCTTCATCATCAACCGTAGTGCCGTACTCGCACGCCAAGCTTTCAAAGGCGCAGTCTCTCGGAGAATCGACATAGATGTAACCGCCGTCGTCACCGCAGCCACAACATCCTCCGCGTCCGTCGTGTCCAATCTCGAGCTCGACTTTCGACCAAGAACCGGAACCGGCTTGTCCATATCCGTGTCCGTATCCTCCTCCAAGTCCAAACCACAGCTGTTGCTTTTGAGATTGCTCATGTCCATAGCCAGGTCCATAGCCAGGTCCATACCTAGCCTCCTGTCCCACCTCCAGCTGATATCCCCATCCCTGGTCCCATGCTTGCTCCTGCTGCTGTTCAAACCCACCGCCATCACCATAACCCCAACCCAACTGGAAATCCGGTCCGCTCGCGTGGTACATCTCCTCATACTGCTGACCTTGCTGCTGACCCTGTTGACCCTGTTGACCCTGTTGACCCTGTTGACCCTGTTGACCCTGTTGACCCTGTTGACCCTGTTGACCATGTTGCTGACCCTGATACTGTCCACCCCTACCACCAACACTAACACCCAAACCCCTCAACTCCCTAACCACGCTCACCATCACTTCCACCTTCTCCCTCTTGATCTTGCGGAGTTCTTTGGCCCGGCGCCGGTGGAAGTTGTATCTCCCGTGCCGCCAGATCTCGACTTCGTGGGCGGCGTCGAGACCGTTGAGTTGGGCTTGGATTTTTTGGAGGCGGTTGGTTAGGCCTTTGATGTGAGGGCCTTGGGGCTGAGGATATGGGTGAGCTCGCGGGACATGGAAAGATGGGGAGGTGTAGCACGAGGTTGAAGAGGTGTAGGGGGGAATAGGGTGAAAATGGGGCGGTCTGCCCCTGATGCGTGGATCTGAGGGATGTGTAGAAGGAGAAGGAGGGGTAATCGTAAAGTGCTGGTGATGGGGGTGCTGGTAGGGTTGAGGGAAGTGATAAGGATGAGAAAGATAAGGGGAAGGGAAGCTATGAGGATGATAAGAAGGAGGAGTAGCAGGTTGATAGAACTGCTGTTGTTGGTATTGCTGCAAAGGCGGCTGAAAAGAAGGCTGCATGTAAAGAGGAGGACTGGAAGTCCAGCCCCAAGGTGCGTTAAACGGAGGTGGGAAGCGACCACCGTAGTACTGCTGTTGCTGACATCCAGGCGAGTAGTGCTCCTGAGCTACATGCTGATGCTCGTGGTCATGCTCACAGCAACCCTGATGCTCGCCAGGTGAACTCGCATCTCCCTCATATCCTTCGTCTTCGCCCTCGATCTGGTGACCTAGATCGCCCACTCCCTCTTCCCGAGTACGATATTCGTTAAAAGCTTGGTTGAGCTTCGTCGTCAAGCTGGGAGTCAAACTGTCGGATGCTGCTGGGGTGTTGCAACCGGGGGATGGGGGAGCAGGTGAAGCCGGGGTCGAGGCTGGGATGTAGGCCATGACGATTCTAGGAGCGTCGCAGTCATGCTTGTCGTTTTGACCGTTCTTCTGGTTATTCTGTGTTGATTCGGCATATTCCTTGACGTCGGTATCGTTGTTTCCATTGCCATGTCCCTGTTGGGAAGGTTCCTTGGCAGTGTCCTTGAGCTTAGAGGCAGGGGGCTCTTCTGGGCCCTTTCGTGGCTCCTCCACGGTTACCGACATGGTTTCCTGTAGGGTTAGCCTTAGGTTTGCTTGACTTCTTCTTTGCAGCCAAAGCGTATCAAGCAGATGCCTTCTCTTCTGCTGTTCCCAATTGTGAAATGAAGTACCTGACGGTTCTTGATTCGTCAGAAAAGTATGGGAAATCGAAACAACTTATACCTCTCATCGTAGCCAAAGGGTTCGTAACTATGGACCGGCTACAAGTGTCTGAATCACGTAGAATGCTATTGTTCCATATGCTAGCGTCATTCACTAACCTACATGACCTATTGTCCGTTATTCCATCTATTCATGCTAGCCAACAGGGCCGGCACCGAACCTTGACAACATTGAAGGTGAGACCTCTTCAGGTTATTCATGGGCCCGCAGATAGATGGTCGTGGACACAATGTGTCAGCCACACGGGCGGTCAGGCGGAAAACCTGCCATCGGAACAGCTTCCCGCGTGATTCCCGGTCCAACAAGCCGATACTGATAGATCATGGTAGGGTTTGCCGGCGGTGTCACTCTGTCATCGTTGTTTGCCAGACACCGTTCTTCGGATCCGAAGCCTGCTGGGCTGACTCCGGCCACGACAGGGTGTTTGATCAGAGTTAAAGTCCATGAGATCGAAGAGAGGGGTTCGTCACCGCTTGAGCGTTTGCTAACTCGTGTTGTTGGTTAGGCGGGGTGAATTGTTGGAGAGAAGAAGGGGAGGCAGATAGTACCAGGTTCTGGATTCCTTAAAACCAGGGTCCGGTTGATTTGAGCCATGATCAATAAAAATGACGAGCAAAAACGCGTGGCCCTCCAGCGTGAAGACGGGATGGAACCATATCCTGTCACCACTGACTCACAACTGTAGTCAAACTTGTTCGATTGGGTATCTATCTCCTTCACCTTCTTATCAATTTCTCCCGAGGGACTCTTCACTGGGTATTCAGTCTGGGACATCGGATGGCTAGCTGCTGCGTCCGTCCACAGCTGTTGCGAAGCCCTGGGTCCGTTCCAGCCTCGCTGGGTGTGAAGTTTTTTTGAAGATGCAATCTTCGAGCTAAATCAGGGGTTGGGGGCAGCTCACATGCTCGTAAGGTTTTCGGTTACTCCCCATCCTCCAAAGACCAGTAGTCCTGTGGCATCGCGCTTTGTGATCAGTATAGGATGCGCTTCGATTTTCCCCCTTCGTCGCTCGGGGCGGGTATGACGCTCCTTCGAACGAGCTCCCAAGCCAGCTTCCCTTGTGTTGCTCGCATCTAGCCTCCCAGCTCGTCGGTTGCAGCCCACATCTCCACCTGTGATCCTCGTTCTCTACCGCCTCAAGCCTACCGTCCTCCAAGACACTGCCTCCTGATACTCCCACCTCAAAGCGCCAGCCCACCCCCCTGCTGCTCCAACCTCATCCTCAACTCCCTCTCCTTCTGCGCCACCTCCATCTCCAGCCTCTCGACACTATACTTCAGCGCCTCCTTCCTTTGCCTAACAACTCTCGCTCTCAGCGCCGCCTCCCCATTGAGCTTCTTCCTTCCGGCCCCAGCCCCAGCCTCCTTATCCTTGTTCTTTGGTATACCTCCCGCACCAGCACCACTCTTCTGTTCCCGATTATAATTCGACAACCTCCCTCCGTTGAGTTCACACCTAGCCTTGAGCGTCTCTACCCTTCGGCCCTTTCTTTCTAGTTCCTTGTCCACTCTTTCTAGTAGCAGCTCGATAAAGGGGCCGATCTCGTCGCGGAGGGAAGCTTCGGCGGCTTGTAAGGTTGGTTGTGGGATGAGCTCATAGTGGCGGACGGTTTTGAGGACGGAGGAGAGGCGGGGGAAGTCGGAGGTTGAGGAGTCGAGGAGGGAGAGGGAGGAGGAGAGCAGGTTGAGAGAGGAGTGAAGGGGCGGGAGGAGAGTCGAGAAGGAGGGGGGTGGTGGGTTGTAGGCGTAGTTGTAGTTCATTTTTGGGGTTTGGGTAGTTGGTGGAGACGGGAAGTTGTGGCGATGTGGATTTGGTCGGTCGGTCTTTGAAGATCACCTGAACGGAGGAAGCTGGCGGTTCAGAGAAGGGAAACAAGCTGTGGTTGTCTGCGCCGACTAATTCGTGTCTCGAAGGTCGTGGGCTGTTAGAGGGAAATGCGTCGCGATGATCTAGACCGTTCCGTAATGGCGATAGTCCTCGTCTGTTCGGTTAACGGAGGTCGCGTGTCTGAGTTGGATACGGTATGAGGATAGCCGTTGCCTTGTGTTGATCTGGGGGAAGCGAGGCTGGAAAGATGAGGATGGTCTGAGTGGAAAAGACGATCGCGTTCTGGCCTTTCGCGCGTCATAACATGCCGCTCGCTGAGGAGCCTTCCCGATCCCGCTGTGGGGGACACTGCAGCCGCTGAGTGGCGGATCATTTTTGGGGGATCGTCCACTAACGGATGCCTCGTGGGGCTGTTAGTGCCGGCCTTGACGTAGGTATCTGTCACCCCGCCTTCAGCTCTCCTCCTCTCCAATACCGTCCTTCACTGCTGCGTTTTGTCCTAATACAGCCAAGTTATTCCAAAACCTCTAGTTCTTACCGCATTACGAACCCAACAAAACTAATTCGTTTTTCCGACATGACAGACTAACAGAATCACGACGCCAACGAGCTCGACAATTCCCCCCTCGGATATAGATAGCAACGGAAGCTAGTCACACGAGACGACGACAAGCAACGAACGTCAAACCGGACAAAAGACGACGAGAACGAGAACGAGGACGATAACATGCTTGACAGGATCATTGAGATTGAGAAAAGGCTGACATTGACAGGCGCACGAGAGTTTCCGGGCCCCGGTCAACGGATAATCCAGGCCAGGTTAGGTGACCCGCGACACCTAGTTACAACGAGATTATTAGGGCGATAACAGGGGGCAGAGAGTGAGGGAAAACGAGACAAAAGAAAACGACAGCACACAGCGAGCGGCGGGAAAAGGATCACAGGCGGCCAAAGGAGGACGGTTAACAGAGGGCGTGATAATGACCAGGCCAAGGCGGCGTAGAGTACACTACAAGAAAACTACCCGACGGACATGGAAGAAAGTAACAAAGTAAAAGAGCTGAGTGATATAGTGCCTGGTATAGATTGCCGACTGCAAAAGCGACTCGAAGATACCTAAGATATTAAGCAGCACGACACTGTGGACGGGAAGTATCTGAGTTTCTGGAACATGTAAGTAGCTAGCAGGCTACCATTAGTACGAACTACACTGCTACACTACTCAAGCTCCAAGTTACATTCCTGGTTCTCTTCAGTACTGGCTCTCTTCTCTGTCATTACTCATTACTGTACACACTTGTCTAGACAGGCACATGTCAACCTGAACTCCCTGCCCGCTGACATTGACATTCAGGCACCGTTCAATAGAACCACCCATGTCCTTGTCCATCACATCTCTGACTACATAACAGGGGACAAGGGTAGTGAACAGTGATGGATGAGCGTGTACATGTGTGTCTCCACACGTCGCTCCTTTGTAATTTCGATAATCTCGGATTCTCTCTTTTTCGAAAGATGGGGAGGGGATTGCAAAATTGGAAAATTGGAATTTGGGATTTGTGTGCCTCGGGATTTGTAAAAATTGAGAATTGGGAGGCAGCCAACATAATTGAACTTATGGGTACGGTATTTATTCAATCCACTTGCTTTCAGTCAGTATTGGAATAGTTACAGTACTTGGGACATGATCATGATCAATCAAACATTTTTATTCTTCTACTTCTAACATCCATCCATCCCCAAGCCCAAACTCTAGAAACCTAGAATCCTGGATGGATACTTGAGGTTCCGCTGTTGTTGCTGGATGCCTCTTGAATTCAGAGCACCTCTCCGTTCTTCGCCATCCATAAAGTTCGTAAAAAGCCCCGTTTCCATCTTCCCATCTTTTTCTGTTCCCCCTCCCGTTCCTTCCAAAACAGCGGGTAGCTCTCTGTCCCAGGTGGGAGAGAACGAAGACATACAAATTTGATACAAGAAATAGTCAAACAAAACGACAAAAAGAAAAAAAGAAAAAAAAGGACATCGGGAGAGAAAAAAAATAAGAAAAAGGACATTGCAGAAAAAAAGAAGAAAAAAACTCCGTTTCCACCCTAAACCCATTCCCCGTAGTCCGCATCCAACAATCCTGTTTCCCCCATTCGTTTCCAAACGAGCTGAGCCACTGTCATGTTGCTGATGATGTGTCGCAATCCGAGTCCCGTGGGCGAAAACAAGTTCAACGTTAATGTGGGTATAAAACGCCGACTCAAAAAGAAGAAAGAGAACATTTCGTGATCTTGTTTTTGTACTGGCAAAGGCGCCAACCATCTTTCTCAAAGAACAACATAAACTCCATCCCCATTTACTTAGCCCGCTCATAGCAGAATCAAGTAATTGCTCGGCGCAATACCCGTCTCTCCTGTCTCCTTCCTCGCCTGCCACCACCGCCCACTGACATCGCTAATCTCCAACACCTCGTGCTTCGAGAAACTAATCTCGTTGGCATCATCCGGGTTGGCCTCGTAGCTGAATATCGCCTTTGCCCTATACGGGTATTCCGTCGGTGGGACAATCTCCCCTTCTGTCCCTTGGGGCGGCTTGGGGATGTTGTTCGACGAGAACCCCTGGGGGATCTGCGACTGGCGAGCGGGGTTTTCGAGCCCGTTGAGCTGGCCTGTGTACATTTGCGGAGGTTGGAGACCGGAAGCCGAGGTTTCGGGGCGCATGTTGTAAGAGCCGTAGGCATTCGGGGAGGAGAGACCGTTGTGGTTCATGGTTTGGCGGCTCATGTGATGTGCGGGGAGAGCGGATTCCTTGCTGAGAGCGAAGGAGTCGATGTAAGCGCGGGGAACTGCGGAGGGCGCGGAACCAAAGTAGAATATCCAGATGATCTAGCGGACGTTAGCATTTTGGTCGGGAAAGTGGGGGTTGTTAACAGGAAACCGCATACCGTCACCATGGACAACAGAATGTATCCAGCTGCTGTCGCCTCCATGGACGCAACGCCGCTGTAAATCAGGTTGTTGATGGACGATGTAGAGCCAACTAGCCCGACGGCCAGGTAGCCGACGATAGCGACATGGTAGGTCTGGGCGCTGTCGGAGGCGATGACGAAGAAGATGCCGAGGATGAGGAAGAAGTTGAAGACGAGTGTGAACCAGGAGTAGGTCGGCCAAATGAGGTTCTTGTCTGGGTCTTGGTCTCTATAGCCAAATATGGATCCAAAGAGGATGATGATCCATGCCAGCTGTGGTGAATGTTAGTACTTGAATGCGAGTTTCACGACGCGCGAAGAGAAACTCACAGTGGCAATAGAAGTAGTGGCCAAGGCAAATGGGTCGCCAATAATGTTGCCCATGTCTATGCCTTTTCGGCGGTACGAGTTCCTGCCGTGTTCCATTTTGGGGTTGTTGAACGATGGGGAGTAGTTGAGAGATCCTCCGTACGATTGCATCAAGGGCGAGAGTCGCCAAGGGAGAGGGCTCTCTCAAGAAGATTATTCAAAGGTCCGTGTGTAAGTGATGGACCGACCAGCGTGTGGGCAGTTCAGTTGACGCACACCTTTCACCAGGAGCATAAGATGACAGCGAGTGGGCAGTGTGTCATGTGCCGTGGACCAGTCCGCGGTTGGCAATGTAATACTTTGTTTTGCGATGGCAAATGCGATGTTACGAAATGAGAGGAAGCGCGACGGCGACAAGTGGTCGGGGTCGAAGCAATAATTCGGGTCGGGTAGCAATCGCTGTGTCCGTTTGCACTGCAAGAGGTCGAGCGAGGGATTCGGTGTCCAGCAACGCGGTATCGCTCGTCTCGGTCGTTGCAAGTATGGGTAGATGGAAAGGAGCAAGGTTGCGATAGATCAGCGATGTTGTCGTTATCTAAGGTAGGAAGGTGATGGCTGAAGAATGTCGGGCTCGTGTTGGTGTTGTTGTTGTTGTTGTTGTTGTTGTTATTGTTGCAAATCGGCAAAGGGGAGGCTGAGTCCAATGAAGGATGTGTGTTGCTGAGTGGCCGTCGGGTATTATTGTTCAGTCGGCGCAGACAATACGGGAAGCCTTTCAATCTTCAGGGGAAATAAGCAACGAGTCGTCGCGCGGGTCGACGGACGGTAGGTAGGTATCGTTCGGTACGGTAGTTGTTGGAATGACGGCGGCGGTACGGTAGACGGTAAACACGGAAGATGGATCAATTGGTGGAAGGTGCGGTAGAAGACTCGAATGTTGTTCCCGTTCTTGATTCCTTTTCCTTTTTTTCCCTTTCTCTTTGTTGTCCTGGTGTTTGCGTGTGCTGTATAGGTATTGTATGGGTGTAATATCTCGGTACCTGCCAACGTCGTATCCCACCAGTCTCGTTCCGGCTCTCGTTCAAGGGCTACAGCTCAGCTCGGAAATGGCCCGGACATGGGACGATCGTATGCTTGTCGTCGTCGATGTTGTCGAGAGAAGGAAGGTCGCGATCAATTCAATCAATCAACAATTGACGATAAGTTGGGCTGGGCGATGATCAACGCCGGCCAATGGAGAAGTGAAGGGGAAGAAAGAAAAGAAGGAGGGAAAGAACAGAAATGAGGGGATGGATTGCAAAGTGTTGCAGGAATGGGATGGATGGATGAGTGGACGGACGGGACCTGAAATGGAAATAGTGTGGGTGACGGTTGGTCGGGGTGGTTGAGGGTTGGGAGATCCGCGGAAAGGCCAACGACTCCGGGGGGCAGTTCGCAACCGAACAGAGTCTGGCCTGGGGCATGGCGGAGGAAAATGACTGGATGAGAATGAGAGAAGTGAGGAAGGGACCGACAATGGAGTCCACTAAATCCACTGAAGATGGGGAGCCATGGCCCTGTCCGCTATGGAGTGGCCCTGAAGCGCGTTGACGGAGGCACTGCACAATTCAGGCACAAAAATGTTAATAGGCAGAACAGGCTGCACACTGTGCAGAATTGTGCAAAGCATCCAATCACGTTATCACATTCATCGGGCTAATGAATGCAATGTTAAAAAGGGACAGCCGGATGGAGAAGAGCACGGACCTCCTCACTGCCAAATCGTCAAGCCAAGACATTCCAAGGTGAGAAGCCGTGTGGAAATCATGGAGCAATATTAGCGACACAACATGGGCACAGTGAGCGGCACAGGGCTGCCTTTTCTGTGAATCAAGTTGTGCAGTTCTTTTCTTCGCTTTTCGGTGTGAGCAGGAAGCTTCATGATGCTGATCGATGGCAGCCAAGACGGGGCGGGAAAGGAAGGATGTCAATCATGGAATTCCACACTTTGGTTGACATGTTGAAAGGGAATGAGACAGTGGGTGGCTCGGTTCAAGATCTTCTTGGTCGAGATATCCGATGTGTTAGTGAGGTTGGAATCTCATATCTCTTTCTCTGCCTCTACTACATTGTTCGGAAGATCAAAACTCATGGCCAAGAAGAGTGTACCCATCCCGCAAACCAAACATCTGGGACTCCTCCCTCAATTGTAACACTCGGAAGTCAGGCAGGCAGCTAGCCATGTGGCTTGTCTCTGTGCCCCATCCACTCAATGGTTAGTAGTACTGTCAGAAACACCATAAGAGTATGTAAACGATAGGCTGAGAGCCAGTTTACCATGCAACCTCACTCAGCTGAGCTCGGTGACGGGCATGGACCTTCGTCAACAGAGAAGATTCACTCACGAGGACACGGCCTAACCCACACCCATGCAATATGCAGGGGCTTTAGGCTCGTTGCCGTGGGTTCCAGGGGAACGCCGTTCGTTTCGAAACATTTTGGCGGGCGCAAACGTTTGGATAAGACGGGGCGGTTGATAGCAAACTCCCAGACTTAGCAAGACTCTTCTTTTTTCGTCATGCTGTCAAAACGTCAGGGTAGGCAGAAAGTTTCTTCACACGACACACCGTCGATATGTTTACTCGCGGTGCAGGAAAAGAGAGAGGATTTACTTTGTTTATAATTGTCAACATTCCAAGAACCCAATGATGAGATATTGGACGCCATACTCCGCCCATCTGTCGCATCACGGCATGGAAATGACATCTGCCCGTTCCTTTGGCCTTCTCGTGCCATCATTGATCTAATTATGCCTGCCAGTCTCATTAACATGCGCTAATCTGATTTCCTACCTTGCGGCATTCAAGGCTCGACAACAGCGCCGCTCTATGAGCGCTCAATTTGTGCGCGCAAGCTCCCTATAGCACGTTGCTCATAATTGCCTGGTGCGCCGCCTGATCATAACACCTCGCTTTCCAGCCCGGGGAGTACCGCGATGCTAAGCGGATGCGCCAGCCATAAGATATGCCATGTGCTGTACTTCCATGTCTTGCGACAGATTTGAGGCTCCCTCTGGTGTATCTGTGTCGCTGATCTGGTTTGCACGAAGGCTGTTCCCACTGCGACCTCCTTTATCATGTCTTGCTTGCCGTCTTTATCCCCCTCTGGTCTCCTCATTCAATAGCAGCATCCATCTCCCTCACCCTCTCTGCCCTCCTGACCCTCAGTTCGCACTTCTCCACCCTCCCCTCTCCCTCCGCCACAAACTTTCCGTACCCCAGTACCCGTCTCTCATACCACGCCTTCATCACCGTCTCGCTCCTCTCCCTGAGCTCCGCTATTTCCGCCTCTTGTGCTAATTGGATGGCTTCCAGTCCTTTCATCCTTGGTATCAAGCTTGCTAGCTCGGCTGAGAGCTTTGTGTCGGGAATCGCGGATTCGATGGTATTATCTGGGGCGGCTGCTACTAGTGCCGATGCGGTCTGGGGAAATTGAGAGGCGTAGGAGAGGACGGTTGCGAGGATGGCGGATTGGGGAAGGTCGGTTGGTGGGAGCTTTCCGTCGGAGGACGGGGATGTGTGGAAGAGGGTTGGGTTGGCTTTGTCTATTTGCATTGGGGGGTTTGGTCAGCTTTGAAGCGATAGGAAACGGGGACAGAGAGGGGGGAGATGAAGGACGTACGGATCTTCAGCAGCTCAGCATACACGCGAAAGCGCCGGATCAAGACATTGAAGCGGTGTTCGAGCTGGGCGAGAGAGGTAGTCGCGGAGGAGGATGGTGCTTGGGCTGGAGGATCAGAGGGTCCGTAGAGGATGTGCTCGATTCGTCGGAGACGGGATTCAAGGAGGGAGATTGTGGCTAGAGAGGTCTTGTCGAGACTTGAGGTTTCTTGGGAGGCGTCCATGGTGGGCGAGTTCTGCTGGGGAGGAGATGGAGCTTGCTGTCGGTGGAGGTGCGCGAGTCGCGAGTTGGGTGACGGTGGTCAATGTGGCAATTAGAGTCTTGCGGTGGGATGTGGTTGACGTTCGTTGGAGCTGTTCAGGATCATGAAGCGACAAGATGGTAAAAAAAAAGCTGAGCTCAAGCTGTGGTACTTGTCAAGAGGAAAAAGAACCTTGACGGCGCGTGTCTAGACCGATGACGGTGTAAGGCTGTAAGGTAACAGGAGGGTCCCGCTTCGTTACGACTCGTTACCGTCAGTCCAACCCCGCCGTATCGCGGACACCGCTCGTTAGACAACACAAGGTCCTGGACAGTGGAATACTGAACAAGCGAATTGTCATAAGGCTGAACCTTCTCCATCAACACCGTTTTGCCCTCTCTGTGACCCCGAATGCTTCCCCGCCTGTCCTCCTTGAATGTTTACTTCCCCTGGATGATCTGTTTCACTCGTAAATTACATACGGGTATCACTGTTAGTGCTGTGGAGTTGATTGCACAGAGTGGCCCGTAATGTGAAACAAACTGTTGAAATCTCCGTGTAACCGACCAATGACAGCTTGGCGTTCATGGTACCTTTTTTTGTGCTTGACACATTGAATCCCATCAAATCCCCAGAACAAGGAAGAATCCCGTCATTCTCTGCGGGCACCTGGTTATCCACCGCCCACGTTGCGTGGAGCTGTTAGTCATGACAAGCCTATAAGCCCTTGTCAGCGCGCTAAAACCGACCTTTTACCTAACAATCCAAGTGTTGTCATCATTGGCATCTGTCACCACCGCAACTTTGAACTTTTTCCCTCCTGCGATCCCTTTCTTTTTATCCCATAAAGAGAATCATCGGATACGCGACGATACCATTCATCCAACCTCGGATCGCAACAACTACAACGACATCTGATGCTGCGCATACAGACCTACACTCGCTTTCTCGATGACCTGATAACAGTCGACGACAACTGACGGCGCCGACTGTCCACTGCACCACACACACATCTTCCGCCTCGAGCACCTCATCGATCCCGACGATTACGATCCGACCGCATTACGTGAATCTACTTATCGCATTGCGGCGAAGGCTTCAGGCGTACCAGCTTGGACGAAACATATCATCCGACACCCAATATTCTCCTCGACCAAAGACTACACCATACCCCCATACCGATACCGACAACATCACGCGACACCACGGAGAGATAGGAAGTGACATGACCAACTATCACGCTGTATCCAACAGCGGCCTCCTAGGGTCGAGTCACGGTGTCGGAGGAGCCATGGTCCAGTACGTTTACGTGACTGCTCCCAGTCTATCTTCTGCTTCAACGTATCTGACGGCGCATTGTGTAGACAACGACGACTACGCTCCCCCAAGATGGGTGGCGGCCAGGCATCCATGATGAGCAGTAACATCAATTTGGTCAATACTAGTACGTTCACCGCATCCTTGTAGACGGAAACCATAGAGAAAGAATTATTGACCTAACCGGGTGCATAGTCATCGGAGCTGGCACCCTCGCCATGCCCCTCGCCATGTCCAAGTTCGGCGTCACGCTCGGCGTCATCCTGATTGTCTGGTGTGGCCTCACCTCCGCCTTCGGTCTCTATCTCCAGTCGCGCTGCACGCGCTACCTCGACCGGGGCTCTTCCTCCTTCTTCGCCCTGTCGCAAATCACCTACCCCAACGCCGCCGTGGTATTCGACGCCGCTATTGCCATCAAGTGCTTCGGCGTCGGCGTGTCATACATGATCATTATCGGTGATCTGATGCCCGCCGTGGCCGCAGCGTTTGGGGCCGGGAATACTGGCTGGGACTTTTTGGCGGACCGCAGGTTCTGGATCACGGTCTTCTTTGTCATCTTCCTTATCCCGTTGAGCTTCCCCAAGAAGTTGGATTCGCTCAAGTATACGAGCTTGGTGGCGCTGTTTGCGATTGGGTATTTGATCATCCTGGTGGTTTACCACTTTGCTGTGGACGACAAAAGTGGAAGGGGTCCCATCAGGCTTGTAACGTGGGAGGGACCGGTGGCTGCCTTGAGCAGTCTGCCGGTGATGATCTTTGCGTATACTTGCCATCAGAATGTGAGTAGATGCACTTGGTTGCGGAAGGCTCCTGCTAACGTATTCCAGATGTTCTCCATCGTCAACGAGATCAAGGACAACTCGCCAGGAAGTCTTGTCGGCGTCATCGGCTCCAGCATCGGCTCTGCTGCCTCGGTTTACGTCCTGGTCGCCATCACCGGCTACCTGACCTTTGGTGATGCCATTCAAGGCAACATTGTTGGCATGTGTAAGTATTCGCTTTCGAACCCTTCTGACCATGATCCCCCTTCACCAAGTCTAACCTCTTCCAGACCCACAATCACTGGCCTCCACCATTGCCAAAGCCGCCATTGTCTTCCTCGTCACCTTCTCCGTTCCCCTCCAAGTCCACCCCTGCCGCGCCTCCATCGACGCCGTCCTCCGCTGGCGCTCCGGCCGTTCGTCTCGTACGCAAAACGTTTACTCCCCGCCTGGATCCGGCAATCAGCCCCTATTGCCTGCTGGCGGCGCCCCGAGCGCTACCCTCGACAGCCATGGCGCCCCCGTAGTGGCCATGTCGGAACTTCGCTTCGCCTTGATCACCTCCGGTATCCTGATTCTCAGCTACTTCACAGCCATCAACGTGTCCAGTCTGGACAGAGTCCTCGCCTACGTGGGCTCAACCGGGTCAACAGCCATCAGCTTTATCCTGCCGGATTATTTTACTACAAAATAAGCGATCCGGAAAGCAATCACCATCAGCGCCTGACTAAGGAAGACGACGATGCCGAGTACTCGACCTCCAGCTCCTCCAGCTCGGCCTCCGTTAGTGACGGGGACGAAGAAGAGGGGACGCCCGGTCCGTCGGGATCCGGAGCTGGGTTGGGAGACAGCATTGCTAGCTTGAGGAGCCATACTGGTAGCGTGGGAAGCAGGTTGGCGAGGAAGTTGAAGAGGAAGTGGAGGTGGGATCTGGAGCATTTGGAGACGGGGCTGTTGAGGAAGATGGCTCTGGGATTGTCGATTTATGGGGTGATTGTTATGGTTGTTTGCTTGGGGATGAATGTTGTGCTTGGGCATGGGGGGCATTGACCTCAACCAGGTTTATTAGGGACTGAGATTGGTTCGAGACACAACTTGAGAGGCAACTGAAGGTAGCTCTGGGCATGGTCTGCAAGCTTGCTGTCTAAGTGGTGGAAGAAAAGAAGGGGAAGGAAAGCAACATTTTGGAAAGAAAGCCCTCCGTTCCTATATACATATTGTTTCACAGCTCGATAACTAGGGTTCGATCAGGAGCATTGAGCTGGCTGAGCTTATGGCGATGGGCGTTTGGGGCTTCGGTCTATAGCGGTGATGGAATGTAAGCATGATAGGAGTCAGAATCAGCATGGCGAATCTCATACCTCAACATCAAACTACCTACGAGGGCAGCTTAGGAATCGTTGAAAGAGAGTGACCTCCGTATGTGTCACTTTCTCGGATCCTAGGTGTGCTGCCCAGTTATTCCAGTCCCTGTCATGTCCAATGGAATGGAGAGGAAAGAATGCCGTTGTTGTCCCACAAGCCCTCATGGGTCGATGAAAAGGGGGCTGTTACAAGAAAAACAATCAATCCCTTCCCAAAACTTGCCCAACCTCGCACATTTTCTGTCCAAGTCTTCAGGGACATGTGAGACTAAAACAGGTTTAGTTTCGCGCCCGCTGCGGAACCTCATAGTGGGGGTTACAGGGGGACAACAGCGGGATTGGGTCTTTCTCGGCCGCTGTAAACGATTGAAACGTTCGATATGACGTAAGTTTTTAGCTTGTTCCAGTTGGGTTGGGGTAGGAACGTCATACCAAGCCGGACCAGGAGCCGTCTTCCAGCTTTTGTTACTTCCATCCAAACACGAAAGAACGGAACAGTCCAATTGAATCGCAGCTCTTCCACTCTTTGCCAGTTTCTGCTTCAGGGTCTTGTCATTCGTCGTTGTTTCTTTCCAAATGTTTGTTTCGTCTTTCTTGTTTTCTGGAAGTCACCCAGAAAGGTGGACTCTATTTCTTTCTCCTCTTCTCTTCTTCGACTTGGAAGGAAACATTGAAGCAGCAGACATCGGCTAGATGTCCCCCAAGATAGAGTTGACATCGACTGTTGATATTGGTACCTGAACATCCTATCTACCAACACCTTTACCTCGACATATCGAACATACCTAGGAAATACACGAGTGTCTCGACATACCTACCCCGTCGAACCACCGGGCAGACAACGAGACATCACCACCATGTCCAACTACGACGACGACTTCGAAGACCGCGGTGCCCGTCGCGCTCACGGTGGCCCATACACAGCCAAACACCCTGTCCCAACCGTCAAGGGTTACCGCGAACATCGAGCTGAGATCAAAGAAAAGGAAGGACTGGATAACACCGCCCAGCCCCAGCTCGATGCCGACGGAAACGAACCCCCATCCAAGACTAGACGAGCGTACGATGCTGTCAAGGCGATTTCCAGAGACGAGGACCAACAAGGAAATCAAGAGGGGAATCCATATCCGACTACGAACAGGAACTATCCCGATGCCCAGGTGGAGGATCCAGGTACACAACAACAGGGTAAATATGGTGGACAGCCTGGTGACAATGAAGACGGCAACACACAGCAGGGCAATGGACATAGTACGGGCAGGGAGCAGCAAAAGCACGAAAAAGCAGAAGCAGGAGCAAGAGAAATCAGCAACCGAAACTGTCGCCTCCACCGTCAACCCCAAAGAAAAGCGCAAGGCTATGAAGAAGCAACAACCCAAAGGCCGTGGCCGCGAAGTAACCGATCCAGTAACCCACTTGCCCATTATGATCCACGACATGACAGACAAGAACCTCGGTTCAGCCCCCGAAAACTACCCAGCGGTCGGATCGAACCATAGGACCTTCACGGGCCCAGAAGCGGCGAATAAGAGCGACGATCACCTACAAGAGGAGACGGTCGAGGTTGGAGAAGCGCATCAAGGCATGCACAAGCTCTTTCCCCCGCCAAATTTCGAGGAGACAAAGGAGCAGATGATGAAGACTTACCGACAGGCTTTGACTGCTGGACTAACGGGAATTAGTGTTGTCGGTATACTTGGGCTGGGTATCATTTCGCTCTTGGGCTTTGGGTCTGGGTCTAGGACGAGGACAATGGAGTCAGATGGGTGGTACAGTTCCGGCCAACAGGCCAAAACATCGGCGTGGGGCTACCTTTCCCTTCTCATTTTCCTCGGTATCAGCGGAGCAGGTGCCTACGCCCTCATCCAGGGTGTATCTAGCTGGCTTGAAAAGCGCGTCTCCTCCATCTTCGAAGAAGAAACCTGGGCTGCCGACCGTCATGAGGAAAAGGAGGTCAACAAGAACGGCGCCCCCTTGCCCGAGTCAGCAGCTTGGTTGAACGGCTTGTTGGCTTCCGTCTGGCCTTTGATTAACCCCGACCTGTTTGCTTCCATCGCCGACATGCTGGAGGATGTCATGCAAGCTTCTCTGCCCAAGCTTGTCCGCATGGTAAGCGTGGATGATATTGGTCAGGGAAGCGAGGCCTTCAGAGTGTTGGGTGTCAAGTGGTTACCCACAGGAGCCGCAGGAAAATCGGTTGATGACCAGGGAAGGTTGAAGGATTCCGGAGAAAAAAACGATCGGCAGGTTAAAGGGGAAGGAGAAGTTCAAGGTGGAGGAGGTGATGTCGATGCAGCAGAGGAGGGAATGGAAGCTGAAGAAGGCGACTTCGTCAACATGGAGTTGGCGTTTGCTTACAGACCCAGGTCGTCGGGGAAGTCCATCACCAGCAAGGCCAAGAATGCCCATCTTTACCTCAAGTTCTACTTGCCTGGTGGTCTGGCAGTTCCGGTCTGGGTGGAACTGAAGGGTATCGTTGGCATTATGCGTCTTCGACTACAGTTGACGCCTGATCCGCCCTTCTTCGAGCTCTGTACCCTGACCTTCCTCGGCCAGCCGCGAGTCAACCTTTCTTGCGTCCCTTTGTCGAAGCATCTCCCCAACCTGATGGACATCCCGCTTATCTCGTCTTTTGTCCAGTCTGCTGTCGATGCTGCTCTGGCTGAGTATGTGGCCCCCAAGTCGCTTACCCTTGACCTCAAGGACATGCTCGTCGGCGATGACTTCAAGAAAGATACCATTACTCGTGGTGTTATGGCTATCTACATCAAGAAAGCCCGCGGTTTTAAGTGCGGTGATGGCGGATTCGGACCTATTGAGGGATCCTCAGACTCGTACGTGACCGTGTCATGGGGTAAGGTCGGCAAGCCCCTGTTTTCCACACGCATCATCATCGACGAGCAAGAGCCCAACTGGAATGAGTGGGCTTACATCTTGGTTTCTCCCGACGAGCTCAACGCCCAAGAGAACCTGCGCATCCAGATCTGGGATTCGGACAAGCACACTGCCGATGATGACCTGGGACGTGTCGAGGTTTCTCTCAAGGAGTTGATGCACAACGAGGAAACAAAGAACAAGATGCACGACCGCGAGGACCGCCTGATGGCTTCGGATCCCGACGAGACCATGCCCGGCACCATTTCTTGGGCAGTCGGCTACTTCGCCAAGGCACACATCCAGCAGAGCCAGCTCGACAAGCAGACGTTCGACTCGTCCATCCGTTCACTGGACCAACTTAAGCAGGAAGTCCACGAAACTACCGAGTCCAAGCTGCGCGAAGCTTCACTGTCAAAGGACATGTCTGAGGAGAAAAACCAGCAGGAAGCCCAAGACTTTAAGGCCAAGGAAGACCAAATGATCATCTCCTCTCCACCTCCGCCATCCATGCCGTCCGGTATTTTGAGCATTCAAATCCACAACATCACCGGCCTGGAAATTACTCCGTTGAATGAAGACCGCAACCGCTCCACCGGCGCTGACGAAGTCAAGGAAGATGCTGCGGAGCAGTCCGATGCTTTGCCCGATTCGTACTGCACTATCATCCTCAACCAGCGCAAGATCTACCGTACCAGAACCAAGCCCAAGAATGCCAAGCCCTTCTTCAATGCTGGCACCGAAAGGTTTGTCAAGGATTGGACCACGTGTGAGGTTATCATCTCTGTGAGGGATAGCAGAGAGGGTGAGGAGGATCCGCTTTTGGGGGTGGTTTACCTACCTCTCAGAAGGGTGTTTGAAAAGAGGAGTCAGGTTATGGGGACTTTCCCGTTGTCAGGAGGGATTGGCAACGGTAGGGTGAGGGTGAGTTTGGTTTGGAGAGGGGTTGAAATGGGGGATTCGGTCATGGGACGGGAGTTGAGAGGGTGGGAGATGGGGACTGTGGAGGTGAAGGGGGGTGTTAAGTGGGTTGGTGGTGGTGGTGTTGGAGACGACACCGAAGGGAGAAGGGGAGAGCTGGAACGACTGAATGGGTCCAAGCTAAAGTTGAAGACCAAGATTGGCAAAGGGAAGATGAATCCCCTGGAGGGAGAAGATGGTATTTGGATCCCCAAGAGACATCACGCCGGTGGTCATGGTAAACAAGTCAGCCAGCAGAAACAACCCTGCAATGGAATCAGCGAGGATAGTATCTTCTTGGGAGTCGTCAAGCGGTATCAGAGCATGTTGTTGCTGCAGTTCAAGGACAAGCACAGTCTCATGCCGGACTCCAACCCCGCGCTGGCCGTTCTCTGGCTTTCTTCCATTCCGGATGAGGAGGATGTCACGCTCAAGGTCCCCGTCTGGAAGGGAGGCAAGAAGCAGCTTAAGAGAGCTAGGAGCTGCGCTGACTACAACGGGCTGGAAGAAGGGGAGAAGCCAATTGGGGAGGTCGAGTTTACCGTCCGTTTCTGGAGGGGATTGTCCGGATATCACAGGAAGTACGCGGGCAAGCCTCGGAACAGCGACGTCAAGGGTGTGATGGAGGTGTTGGATACCGTCTGTGACGAGAAGATGGATGAGGACGACGATGACGGTACCTGGGGATCATCGGATTCAGATACTGACACCAGCGACTCCGATTCTGACTCTGACAGCGACTCCAGCTTGTCTGACGACGAGTACAACGCCCGCCACGACATCCACTCCCCTCAACATCGCGATACCCCCCAAGAAGCAGCAACCCGCAAAGCCCTCCGCAAACACGGCAACAACAACACCACCTCTTCCTCATCGTCATCATCGTCCGACAACGAAGAAGACATAGATCTGCCCGATACATCCAACGACTACTCCAACCCCGTTTCGAAAGTCGCGCACAAAACCAAGCGCAAGCTGTCGGCCAAACTCGACGGGGACAAGATTGGCTCTGACCAGGATGATGGCAAGAGAGGTGTTATTGCGCAGGTGCAGGATTATAAGCGACATCGCAAGGAACTGCATAGACGACATCGCGGGGTGATGCAGTGGAAGGCGGCCAGGACGCTGGATTGGTTGGGGGGACAGGTTAAGAAGGGGAAGGGGAAAGTGAAGGAGTGGGGCGAGCATGGGGATAAGTCGGCGGGGATTGAGACGGAGGTGTGAATTGTGATGGGGAACTATCGGGGAGGGGGAAGGGGGAAGGGGAGAGGGGGTGGAGGAGTGTAGGTAGGTGACCTAAAAGTGTACCTAGTGGCTAACGACGACCCGAAGGGAGTGTTAGTGGCCTGGTCTTATTGAAGAACTCGAAGAATACCTTCCTTACCTCTATCGACCTCAACACAGAACAAGAATCACTTTATTGCACCAACGTGACGGTTTATTGGATATTGATGGGTTGCACATTCCAATCCATTGATCTAGCGTAGGCACGCTCTACCTCCACCTCTCCCTACTGCCTCTTCCCCTCGGCCTTCACACTCTCCCCCTCCTCGGTCTCAGAAGGGCCAGCAAAAATTTCTCCGCAATGCGTTTGGTGTCCGCCCCGTCTCTTCTCCCTCCTTTGCTTTCGAACCACCGCCACCTGGTACCACATTATTTCTTCCCACTGCTCGTTGGTGACGGTTTCAATGTCGATACTGTGCTGCTCCATTAGGATGAAGGCTGATGTCATGTGGCAGCTGTTGCCGGTAGGGGGGTTGGTGGTAGTGGTGGCGGTTGTGGTGGTTGTAGTGGTGTTGGTGGTGTGATTGGCGGTGATGGTGGCCTTCTCCTCGGCGGTAGGAGGCGAGGAAGTCGAGCTGCTGCTACCGTTACTGCTGCTGGTTGCACTGTACAGGGCCGTCGTTAATCGATGTGCATAATATTGGGTACTAGGTGGTCTACACACCTCTGTTTCTCGTAATCATCGTGAACAAATACCGGACCTTGGTGGACATAACTGGGATCTTCATGTACTGGGCCTTCGTGAATGGGTCCCTTGTGGACGGTATCCTTGTGGATGGTAGCCAAACCCAAGCTGGTTGTGGTGGAAGATCGAGGAGAGGGAGTTGAGCTGCTGCTAGTTATGTGTTGTTAGCCGGTGTCGGCTAGAGGTATGGACACTAGAGGTAGATCTTGGTAGTTTACATGCCTCGTCGACGAGTTATCGTCATCATGGGTCTTGATGCTTCCCCTAAGCTTGTAACGACGGACTACATGCTTGGGGAGCTTTGGCTTAGCTTCGTGAGCTAGTGTAACTGTTAGCTTAGCGACGTCCACGTCGCTCTGGGAGAAGCAGGCTGGTATAACTGTAGCATGTAGTAAGGATGACTTGCCTTGGTGTTCCACGGGCTTCATACTGGAGTTGCTGTTCATGATATTCGACATTTTGTTGTACGGCAAGGCTGCTGTGGTCTGGACGTCCTAAATTAACTTTGTTTTTGGATGATGCAAGAGAACAGGACATGACTAGATTAGGTTGAAAATCATCAAGCTTTAAAGCACCCATAGCCAGGTTTGAATCTGACTTGTCGCTTGTGGTACTTTCCCAGTTGCCAAGTTGCCCATGGTGATGGCGACGAGGTTGGTGATCAATGGTGGTGTTCAGTGTTCTATATATCTGAAGTAGTTGCCTGGGCCCTGAATTGGGAGTTGTCCATGGTGACGGCAAAGGGGTTGGTGGTTAATGGAGGTGTTCACTGTTCATTTAGGTAAGGCATATGAATTTGTAGCAACCTTCATCTTCATATGAACAGTCCTCCTGTCCGGTCTACAAATGAGTTGGATTTGTGGTTTGATGCCGGGTTTGATGATTGTACCTAACGGCCTACTCAGATTCACGAAAATTTGTTTGAACGTGTTCTCCAACATCGGATACCACGACTACGTAGAGGTACTTCTACTGGGCCACGCCAGGTATGAATGGCTTCTCTTGTGCTTGATGTTGTTTGGTGTTGTTGGTTCGTGTGGTTGCTTCCGTTGTGAACAGTGCATGAGGGAGAACACATCATCATTATGGAAACAAACAGTGTGCGCATGATCTATGGGATTGTGTTTGGCGTCTAAATAGAAATCATTATGATATAGGTAATTATCATTAGGGAGTCATGGAACGTAATAGAGAAAATACATCATCTATACGTTGGTATCCCTTCCACTTGCATTCCTATTCCCCACACGATCCCTCTCCTCTCGTTCCGTCCTCCTCGTCGCCTCTTCTTCATCCCCGCCCTCCACCGTCTTCAACAACCCAACCTTGGCTCTCTTCCTCGCTCGTCGATCAATCAGTCCTTCACCACCTACTTGGACCGTGATTTCTTCACTGTGTTCTCCTGCCCTTCTTCTCATGAGTTCTGCTCGTCTGTTGATCTGTTCTACCTCTTCAAACGGATTTGGTGGTGGGATCAAGGGTGGGAGTAAGGAAGTTTGGTGCTGAGGGAGAATGCCGAATCGGGAGGTGGCGGCTGAGTGCATGTGCCCTTGAGAGTGAAGAGAGTCGGGAAAACCGGCTTGTCCGATTACGGGGGGAGCGCCGCGGGGGGTGTATGCCGGTGGGAGGTTGTCGTCTGAGTCTTCGTCTGCGTGCAGGTGGTCGGCGTCGAGGTCGGCGTCTATGAAGGAGTGGCGACGGGAGGAAGGGGTGGAGTGATTGAGGGTTGGTTGAAGGTGCTGTGACGGTTCGGGGGAAGGAGCTGTGGTAAAGAATGTTGCCGATACGGGGGATACGGGTGACACAGGTACTGTGGATTGTTCATTTGGTGGTGAGGTCCGGATCGATGGTGTTGATGTATGTCCGTCTTGATGTTCGGGGACTAGCAGACCCGGACTGGGAATCGGAGCAGGAGCAGGAGCACCGGCCGATCTTCCACCGTTCATGGGAGTCGACAGCTCCACGGACACCCCCTTACTCAACCCAACCAACGCATCCACTCCAGCCAAATACTCCCATTCTCCCTTGGTCGGCTGCCTCAAGCCCAACCCCTTGATCAGCCCATCGTCTTTAATCTGATGCGTAATCCGGGCAATGGCCATGGTGTCAAGTGTCGTAGTCCACGTCGGCGCACGGCAGATGTACCAGAGCAGTACCAAGATGCCAACGGCCTGCAGCGCTATCAACACGCTCAAAGCGATCATGGCCTTGTCCGAAACCACAAACTGAAGCCATGTCGTCTCGTCGGCCAACAAGCTCCAGATCCTATCCACGCCGTCGCTATTATCGTCGTCGGAACCTGGATATGTCGCCGCCTCCATGAGGGTCTGGGAAGCCAGGTGTATGGCCATCTCGATATTGGTGACCCCGTCGAGCATTTCCCAGGGGAAAAGAGACCGGGAAAAGAGCGTCAAGAGGTCGTAGAGCTTGGACGAAGCCCAAAGCCAGTCAGAACCATCCCTGTTGTAGTACGAGCAAGGGTTGGCCATTCTCCCGTTGATGCGGCGAAAGGGGAAGGAGCGGGCTTGGCAGAGGGCGTTGGAGAGAGTTTGGGGATCACCTAGAGGAGAAGACGTGTTGTTAGGGGTGGCGATGCCCTGGGCGAGATGGAAGACGGAGCCATTTCCAAAGAGAGCATGAAGGACCAAGAGGAGAGGACCGGGGCTCCAGTTCATGGCCAGTCCAGGGTCAGTCACCATGGTCAAGTCGTAGTCAGGGTGGGCGCTGCCGCCTATCCCGCTGACCTGGGTGTCGCGGATGAAGCCGTCTTGAGTCCAAAGGGCGGGCCGGTCGCTGCGTGCCGAGACGAGAGGACCGTGCTGGCCCGAGTTGTAGTGGTTGCCCAGCTCAAAGTAGCCGAGGGTGGTGGCGCCAGTGCATCGAAGGATGAGCTGATCGGAGTCGTAGGATTTGCTGAGTGTCATATTGACGTAGGCGACCTCGGTGATGTTTTTGATTTGGAAGTATCCATCTCGTTCCAGATTGCCCCAAGGGTTTCCTTCCACATCCTGACCTGTGCAAATGTCGAGAGTTCCGTTGAAGGTCCGGAGCGAAACGTCCTGGTTGCGCGCGGACGGTGGACACTTGGCCATGAACTCGTCGTCCTCGATATGAGTGCACCTGGCTGTGCTGTTGAGGCGCATGGCGTGCTGGCGGAACAAGCCTGTGGTTGTGTGCCTGGCTACCGTTGAGGCAAACAGGCGTCCCGTCTCGGGATCGTGCCAGTTCCGCTCCGCGTTATCGGCAGGGTGGTAGTGAACGAGGACGTCACGGATCCGGTCCAAGATGGAGTCTCGCGGTATGTTGGCGATGCGAGAGCGGCCGACGTCGACTCCTACCACATTGGAATGGAGGAGATTATAGCGAGACTCGAGAGAACGATGAGTGGTATCCTCCCAAGATCCGATCTCCCATGGGGCCAAGCGTCTTGATAGGCGCTGGTCCCACTCATCTTTTGAGCGACTGTACCAGGAGAGAGGGCGCTGGCCGGTTTGGATTTCTATAGAGACCAGAGGGGCGCGAACAATGGGTAGTGCAAAGGCTGTTCACATCATCATCAGCAGCAAAGTCATCGTTCCATGGTATAGTCAAAACTCACCAACAACAATCAACACAACTGCCACCTCGGCCAACCTATTCCCCCCATGACTCGGTCCCTCCCACGCGCCCTTGAACCACTTTTCATCCGCCAAACTGAACAGCTGCCTGACATTCAGCTTACTCCTCTTGGATGTCCTTTGGGCGTACACAACTGCGGCCCTGTTCAGCAGGTAATAGATGAGCGGCAGAGACACTAAAGCCTGGACGAGGTTCAATACGGGAAACAGCTGTCTGTAGAACGGTTTCGGTTCCATCTCTTCCCGGGCCAGCTTGCAGATGTAGACCCATGGCACGATCAGCAGAGCCAGGTACCAGGCGGCGTTGAAGAGGGGATCCCCGTTCCATTGGAGGGCTTGGGTCTTTTGACGATGGGGGTGACGTTGACGTAGGGGCCTCCAGTGGTGACGGTCATGGCTGTCGTTGTCGTCGTCGCCGTCGGCGGGTGGGTGGGTGCCAAGTTGTTTGGTACTACCCCGGATTGTCGTCGTCGGATGGAAGATCAGGTGGATCAAATCTTGTACCCAGGCAGAGAAGGGTGATTCCCCAGAGTGATATAATACCCCTTTTTCCTTTTCCTGTGTCCTAGACCGTCTCATGATCCCAACGGCGGGATGTGGGAAGATCCATGGTAGGCCTCCTTTAGTGGCATTTCCCCTGACCTTATGCATGGTTCTTGGTGAAGAGTGCCTGGCGGTTAGACCCAATTCAGCTTGGAGCATTGATGTTAATGGCTGAGTGGTCAAGGTACGCCGTGAAGCCGAGGCGGTTGGGCCCTTACCGTCACATTTAGTGAGCTTGGCGGCGGCCCGAGGCAGCGCGAGGTTGAAAATGGGAAATGACGGATGTTGCAGTTGGTACAGTGGGAAGAAAGTGAGGTTGAATAATGAAACAGGAGTTTGTTGACTGGCGATGGTGCTTTGGTGTTGATGAAGGAGGTTCCAGACCCCCCGAAGCCCAGGCTGTTGAGCACTAACAATTATTTTTCAGCGGCTGTGGAAGTCTTTGGCAGGAACAGGCACAATCGGGTAACGGGACTGCCAAGACCACTTTTGGGCCAATGACATGATACCGCCGCTAACAATATTTGTTAGGGTTACAGGAAATTATTGCTGGACAGGCTAATATGGCATATCCCCAAAGCATTTCCTGTCCCAGTCTGGCATTGGCAAAAAAGTCCGTTACTTCCACAAAGGATTGGATTTCTTGTGACAAAAACACCAAAAATTAGACATCTCCACGAAACAAATCACGACACGAACAGACGGCGTAGGAACCGCTTCTCTAACTTTGTTCAGAGTCTGGATGCCGAGCTACAAATGTTTTCTAGAGAGCCAAAAAGGGTACAAAGAGACCTGCTTGGAGATCGCTGGGCCAAAACAACGATGTTAAAGCAATGAGTTTGATTTGACAAAGGGCGTCCCCTAAGAAAAGAAGAAATATAAATAAGATAAAACCCCCAAAAAACAGGAAACCGCTTGGTAACGGCTCCTTAATCCCTCCTCTTCAAAGGCTGGTGACTAACGGAAACGAAACATAACATTCCATCACTACCAGACCCCGTACCCCTTTTCCACTCTCCAACCCTTTCATTTCCTCCGTCCAATTTTGTCACACGAACACCTCTCCATTCCGTACTCCTTCCTGTCCACAACTCCTGACCCGTCGTGTAGAACACACTGAATGAATGGCAGTCAGGACTCGGAAAAGTCAAGGGGTCCAGACTCAACAAGCTTCGCCATTCCCCATTTCCATCACTCACTCATCCCTATCTCCTTGTATATTCGAACTTAAAAACAAGCAGCCTTAACACTGCTAATACCCAACAGTTCAGCACTCAAATAAACCAGCGCCTTTCCACCAGCCTTGAGCTTCTCCGCCTTGGTCGTCGCGCCCAAAAGCAACTTGACGCTCTCCTTGACACCGCCCAGCGCCTTGATGTACTTCTTGATCTTAAGCAACTTGGCAGCAGGAACGGCAGTAGTGGCAATCATCTGCACGATGCTAGCGACGCACTTGGCGATCTTCCAGGCGGAGGCACGAGCGACGAGGACGCCACGCTCGACGAGAGTCTCATCGCCGACGAGGTCTAGGTCATCGACTTCGAGAGCGGGAGTGGTGTCGAGGAGAAGATCAGCGCTGGGATCGCGGAGGTCGTTGTCGATGAACCATTGGTTTAGAGCCTCGTCGCCAGACTCCAAGACGGAGTCGGGGATGGAGTCGAGGAGGTTGAAGAGGTCGTCGAGAGAAGAGGTGAAGGCGGGAGTGAAGTTGTAGGATACGAGGGAGTCGTCGATGTCGATGTCGGTTTGGGGAACGACGGAGGTAGCCTCTTGTGGGAGAGGAGAGGGGAACGCCAGGGCGAGGGAGGCCAGGAGGGTGGTGGAGAGGAGGAACTTCATTTTGATGGTTGGAGTGGAAAGTGAATGTCCGAAGAGACTGGGGGTTTAGACTTTGGAGGTCGGGTGAGGACTTGAGAGGGGAGTGAAGAGAGGGCTGATGGTGATGACAAGATGGATGGTTGATGATGGGGATGTGAAGGTGGTTTTATACTTGGATGGTTGGTGTTGTCTTCATGATATCGTCCTCTTCTTCGAGAGACCATCGAGAGACCATGGCAGGGGCGACACTCACAACTCTCAAGCCCATCTCCTTCTCAACGACTTGCTTGCCATGTGCGGGCGGTTACACGGCGGCAAAGTGTTGACATGACAAGCCGCGGACACTCGCAGCTATGGGACAAGATTACCCGCTTGATCGTTGCACGATTGTTCACATCCGTTGAGCTGACCCCGGTGCCCATTACCTAACAGTGTATTGATCGTCTCATGATGAAAGTCTTGGTGTTGAAGTCCAGATGGTGGACAAAGGCCTCCAAGACGAGACTATCCCCAAATCACTTGTCGCCAAACTTTGTTTGCTTTAGGAGTACTACGTCCTAGTCGATAGTTTTGCCGATCATCCGTCGTCCTCGGTGACCAAGGCTGGACAGTGGTTGAGGAGTGAAGATGTTGTGATGATCCCCATCCCAGGCCGAAGAGGTATCTTCATCTCAACTGGTTCGAGGTTGATCGCGACATCGCATCCCCCACAACCCGTAGATCTTGACTAGAGTAGGGAACTCTAGACCGGAGCAACTCTCCACAGATCTTACGTACAGAAAGGAAAAGGATCTGGTCTCACTTTCATTACGATGCAGCCGCTTGCTTCGGCCGCGATCTTCTGCAAATAAGACGGGAGGAACAAAAGTTGTGGTGGGGTTGCCATGCCACGGTCCCTTGCGGTCGCCACGACCTAGCCACGAGGGTGCGTCCCGTTAGTACTATCTCGGAATGGCCATGTGCGGTAGCATGGAAGCGAGGAAGCTTGGGAAGTATGACAGGCTAGGGTGCATATGCCCAGACGGCCAAACCTACAAAAGATAGGACGATGTTCTGCTTGCAAGGCAGAACTCGGAATGCACACTATATAGCCAATGCCAACCTGTGACGAATCACAGTAAATCTAACAGGAATAAGTTCAGCCTTTATCAGACCATCACTAAGAAAAAGCCAAGATGGAACAAGCACGGTGCCTAGGTTCCGTTGTCAGTGTCAAACTGTCAACTCCGCCTTTGCATTAGTTCGAATACCCTGGATGTGCTTGGTGATATCAGATCATTCCGCGCTCACTTCAGCACCTGGAGGCGGAGGGCAAGGGATATAATCACACCTTCATTGCCAAGCAGTAAGCAATGTAACATAAAAAAATGAAGCTGGAGCGGCTGGAACGGGTAGAACGGCACGATATGAAGCCTTACTTGGACTTGACTCGGTAGAGGTGATTCTGAGATCAAGAGCTGAGGCTGAACTCCCATGTTCTGCCACTCTCCTCCACGGACAAGAGAGACCAGGACAAATGCCCTTGGCTTGTCCATCTGAGCGGGAATCGATTTGACAGTGTCTTTATTAACGTCAAATTCGACGCTTGCAACGGCCCGTCTTTGTGTTCCCCTCTCACGCTATCTGAGATGTTGGACCTGGACTTCCAGAAGCTGTCAAAGTGGCCGTTGTATCACGCCACGCTTGCACCGCAATTTTCTCCGCATTCTTTTCCGCACTTGTCCACTTGGCCAAGAGATGCCCTATTCCCTTCATGGGGTCTTCTCCGAGGGTCCTGGGGGTCCTTGGTGTCTTTGCCAGGGGAAGCAATTGAGAAGAGAGGGGAGCGCAAAAGTTCAGCTGAGGCGCGGGATGCAGATCATTCAACCGTTCAAAGATGGCGTGCATGAGGCGGATCACGGAAAACCCGTCAAGCACGTGGCTTGGCCTTGTCCAAGGCGTTCTTGGCTCGGGATGGCGCGGTTGCCACGGCGGATGAAAGAGGGGGGCTCTTCAGACCGTGGGGGACTCGGTTGTCGGTTGAAGAGGAAATGTTCAGTGGATTATCAGTAACATTACCATATTTTCACTCTCGACAAACCTGGGATGGCGGGTTGGAGATGTCCTTTGCTGGATGGCCCTGTTGGTGTTTGATGCCGGCCAAGCGAATGTCGCGAATAAGTTTGCCGCCGGAGTTGTCGCCATCAACGTTTGATATTCAACACAGTGATGAGAGTGAACCTTTGAAGTCGTTCAAGTCGTCGTCGTCGCCTGGATCCCCTGGCCGTCCCGGGTCGGCACCAAACCCCACCGAATTCCGCGATTTGCCAGAATATCAAAGTGTTCCGGGAATGCTTTCAATCCCCCAACGGCCTCGACAGCGGAATTTCCCCAAACTTGACTCTTTCCTCTTTCCTCTGAAAAGCCGCGAATCGGACCAATCACTCCGCGGAGAAGGCGCAATCGGAGTCACCTCCGCAATTCCGCACACGCTGGAAGGAGCAAAGAAGAAGGGAGATGCCGGTGGCAGCGAGGTAGAAGGTAGACGAGGCCGGGAGTGGCCTGTGTGCTGTGGCTTGACTGCCTGGTTTGGACCCCACCCATTTAGCGTCGGGTACCCCTGAATGGTCCACTGGGTGTTTGTATCCACCATGACGACGGCCAACCACCAATAACAAAGGTGTCAGCAACAAGCACTTGCCCTCCGTCTTTCGCTCGACGCCAACCCGACCCGTCCATCTTAACAATCCGCCCGCCAGGAGGTCTCGGCAGTCTCTTAGTCCGTACCTTCTTGAATCGTCGACCTGCTTTTGCCAGTTTTTTTTTCCTCACCGAATTTCCACTACAGTGGCAGCAACGGCAATTTGACCCCGACATGTCCACAGCCCTCGTCACCAGCCTGTGGCATCGGTTCGTCTCGATCAAGGGCCTGGTCCCCAGTACACTCATCGCTGTAGTGTAGATTTCGTCTCATCCTTGTCTTGAATACTATCTTCCACTATCAATTCAATTGTCTTCGCTATTCCATATGCCACTGCCAATGCTGCCAATGCACACTGTCCCGCATACTGATTCTACTACCAACATCCACATTTGTCCATCATTGACCTAACCACTGACTACTCCGGAACAAGGCCGGGGAGTCAATCGGGCCAACGGACCATCCGGAATACCGAGTTACATCCATCTATACTGAACCGTATCACCAACAGCACTGATACCACCATCAGATCATCACAAAGACATCAACTTGCCTGCTACCGGACCATATACCCTGTAATTGAAGATCACCCGTTCCATCCCAACATCAGATGGACCCCCGAATAGCAAGACCGTCGACAGCACATGGAAACTCCTCCAATCCTTTCCCCTCTCCGTCGCCAAGTCTCAGTGTCGCCCATGTGCCTAAGGCTGTACCAAACATCCCGGTAGACATCTCGGCTGTCTCCGATGGTGTCAACGGCTACAATACGGCCCTGGTCACCGAGCTGTTGAGACACAAGCGCAAAGCCCGCGACGTCAAGTCCTGTTTCCCCTGCCGACACCGCAAGGTCCGGTGCGATGGCGGTCTTCCATGTTCCAACTGTGTGAAGAGGGATCACGTCTCGCTGTGTCGAAGGGTCACTACCACTCCCGGAGCTTCGTCAGTGACCAAGTCGGCGGTTACCAAAGGGATATCGGTTCAGTCTGGTCCGTCAGTTGCGGCTAGTTCGCCAAGATCGGTCGTTGGCGATCCTTATGGCGGAGGTAGCAATGGGTTTGGTGCCTTTGACCCCACGACATCTGGGCAACAACAGCAGCAGCAACACAATGGCTATGTTGACCGTAGCTCTCCAAGCACTGTCGCAAACCATGATGTCGGGGTAAACGGATGGTGTGTGGGCGCTTCTTCTTTCTTGTCTCCTCAAACACCTGCTGACAGTTTCCTGGTGGATGTTAGCTCAGGATATCCTCCTCCGCCGCAGCCGCAAAGGCGAGGACCACACGAAATAGCCTCACCAAATCCTCAATTTAGAGAGACCTACCTCCCACCATTAGCACAGGGCCAACAATCGCAACCACAGGATGACGATGACAGCGTTCTCGAACGTCTCGAAAACATTGAAAAGCAAATACAGTCTCTCAAATCCGATTTGGTCCAACGCCGGTCCAACCGAGCATACCAGAATGCCGGCAACCACCAACCACAACACCCCCAAGATGCGCCGACACCGTCGCAGTATTCTGTGTCCGAGCATCACCGAGACAATCAGGACTTGCTCCCCCGGCTAGACTCGTTAGTAGCCACCTCCAATTTCCTCCAAAGCACCTCAACCACCACCACAACTACCACGACTTACGGAAACAGAAACAGCAACAACAACCAGAACCATTCTCGAAAACCCTCCTCCACACAAGCCCATTACGGCGGCACACCCCCTGCCATCTCCCAACTCGAATCGACCCCCCTCTCCCGCGGGAAACAATTCGTCGAAGAAGCCACAGGCGCCACCATCTTTCTCGGCAAGCGCGCCGACCCTCCTCTTTCCCTCGGCTGCTTCCAAGATCCCGCCCCGCTCTTTTCCTTGGGTGGAGATCTCGGACTCAATGGACCAGGCTCAGGAGGAGGCAGACACCACGAAGTCCAGCTCACACCACGGACCTACCCGTTCACAAACCTGTGGACACCCGAGGCGAAACTGGGTGATGTGTGTCGGACACTACCCTGTCAGAGCGATATCATTCGGTACTGGCAGGCTTTCGAGACGTTTGTCTATCCCTTCTATCCACTGCTGGTAGCTCTCGATGATTTCAGGGCGAGTATCTATGCGTTCCTGTCGAGACAGCCGATGATGAGTAGGGCGCAGCAGCAGGAGGCAGAGGGTGGGAATGGAAATGGGAATGGAATAGGAGGAGGTTCGACGACGAGTTGGATCGAGGAGAACACGGATCCAAGTTGGCTGGCGTTGTTGTTTAGTGTACTGGCGTGCGGGACGCAGTTTAGTTCAGATACGGCGCAGGAGAGGTATTTGAGGAGCAAGGTCTTTGGTGAGTTTCCTTGCCCCTTCGGAGTTGGGATGACAGCGCTGACAGGGAAACAGTCTGCTCTGCTTTCCAATGTCTTCGAACAGCCAACCTCTTCTTCAAGACGGACTTGAACCAGATCCAAGCCATGGCACTCGTGGGCCACTGTCTGAGGAATAATTTGGAGACGAACAGCGCTTGGATTCTGCTCGGCGCAACAATTCGGTTGGCACAAAGTATCGGGTTGCACGAGGCTTCGATGCCGGGATCTCAGGGTGCGTGGGCTAGCGAGGTTCATCGTAGCCAGGCGGCTCATCTTTGGTTAGTACCTGGTTGTTCCATCTTCCATTTTCCTCTCTGCCTGCAATCCTGCAATCACTAACCTTCCCGGGAAAACAGGCGCATGATCATTTGGCAAGATACGTTCCTCTCCTTCACGTACGATCGCCCGCCCGTCGCGACATCCACCATTCTTCACAACGACATGTTCGGCGCCCACCGCAACCTCTCCAACAAACACGGCCAACACCCCGATTCCACAAAGTATACCTTTACAGAAGCCGTCTTCCGTGTTTGCCTGGTGATCCTCGACTGGACCCGCGAAGGCACTGCGACTTCCCAGTCACCCGCCGTCTTGTTCGGCACCGACAAGGACCGTCGCTATTCGCAGATCCGCTCGCTGCTATCTTTCAAGCAACAGTTCAACCTAGTCCTGGAAGACTCGGTCCAATACCTGAGGGATGATTCGCAGTGCGACACTCTCCAAAAGCACGCGGAACGCTTGGGTCTCCAGATCCATGTGGCCAGCGCCCTGTGTAGAATGTACCGGCTATGCGTTGATACCCTCCGGGAGGATCGCCAACAAGGATATGATGCCGTGGGTATCCAGGGACAAGAGGAAGAGCAACTGACGAGCGAGTACGCTATGCACGCCACTGAAGCAGTTCGCGGCTTCCTGGATATGTACCAGTTGAGTCGGACCGTGTGTCGGTCGTGGCCTTTTGTGCATAATGCTGTTAGTTCAGCGGTGATGTTGAGGGAGTTTTTGGTTGGTGGTGGTGGTAGTCAAGGGGGTTCATTGACTCCTTCTTCCAATCACCAGCAACAACAACCGCAACAAGGGATGCAAGCGTTAAGAGAAGAGTGGACAAGGAGAAGCGAGCCATTGATCATCAAGCTGATTGGGGTTCTGGAAAAGGAGGAGAGGGAGAGTGAGTGGTTGGATGCTGATACGAATGTGAGGCATTCGGGGCCACATTCGAGGGCGTTGAGGGCTTTGAAGGAGAGTTACGGACGGTGATGATTGGATATTGCAAGCAAAATAGAGGCATAGACGGGTATTCAACATGGATTTGATGCTGGAATAGACATGGGACCATTAACTGGGACAAGATTTGGGAATAGGTATACGACTTGGGGTGGCATTGTAGACAGCACATTCGGAGTTCATGTTTGGCAAAGAATGCAGTGTTTGACGTTTTGGATGTTCGGAGTTCATGTTTACGTCAGTTCTGTACTTTGTATGTGTGCGGGATGACAGTGATCCAGCGGGGCAGACGCTTTTTCCGGATCGGATGACGGAACTTTTGGGAAACTTGCCGTTGGTGCACTCAACTCACAGATTTCTCACAGATTTCTCCATTCCACCCAGTGTTGCCCCAACAGGTTCGACTCGAGCGAAGCGAGGTCCCCTCTCCGGATGGGGCCGCCGGAGGCATCATCATCATGGACACACACGAACATCAAAGCAGATCACCAGCAAAAAGCACACACAACGGCTGAAGTAGTACCCGATGTTCCATTCCAAGTAAAGAAGTATGTACAGAACCCGCCCATGCAAAGTAAAGTCTAAAAATCTAATAATGTGTATACAGTAAAACCGAAAAAAACACCGACAATGCAACGACATATGACAACAACAACAACAAAGAAACCATCGCCATCATCACCTCCACCACTGACTTCCGCGTCGCAGGTGTGTGTCGTTTAGGCGCTCTTAGCAGGCCACTCGGTCCTCCTCTTGGCAGTGACATACAAGTTAAGCGGCCTGATAAGCTGGAACTCGGGATCATACTCGATGGCCTCAAAGCCTTCCCTGGTGAACTTGTAGCGGTAGATAAGCTCGCTCAGCAAGATCTTGATCTCGAGCAGCGCAAAGTTGAAGCCGATGCACGATCTGGGTCCGACAGCGAACGGCATGTAAGCGCCGCGGTGACGCGCCTTGACCTCCTCGGTGTCCCATCTGTCGGGGTCGAAGCGGAAGGGATCATGCCAATGCTCCGGGTTGGTGTGCACCGCGTACAGCGCGGGGATCATAACCACGTTCTCGGGCAGACGGAAGCCGCCGGGGAGAACGACGTCAGTCTTGGTGGTGCGGCCCGGCTGGAACGAGGCGTTGTGCAGACGCTGGGTTTCCTTGAGGAAGGCGTCGAGGAAGGGCAGCGAGTGCGCGAGATCAGGGTCCCATTCCGTCTCGGCGTTGATGCCGAAGTCGATCAGTTCCTGCAGCAGACGGTCTTGCATCTTAGGGTAGGTCACGATGCAGTAGATGCACCAGGACATCAGCGAGGAAGTGGTGGTGTAACCGGCGCCCGTGACGACGAGCATGTTGGACAGGACAAGGCCCTTGGGGAAGTGCTCGCCCTTCTCGTCGACCGCGTTGACGAGGTAGTCGGCCACGCAGGAGGCCTTGGTCGCAGCCTCGCTGAGCGGCAGGTTCTCGATGCCGGAAGACGGCGCCGCATCGACGGCTTCCGCCAGCTGACTGTACGTGGCCTTGCGCACTTCCTTCAGCTTGGCAGGGTCGCCGAAGGGCAGGTGCTGGTACCAGCCGCCGCGGGCGGTGACCTTCTTGTTCAAGGCCAGCATGTTGACGATGTTGGTGACGAGGGAGTGCACGGGCGTGTCGACCGCGTCGAAGTGGTGGTAGTCGAAACCCATGGCGAACTTGCCGACGGTCTGAGAGGCCAGCTTGACCATGTACTGGTACACGTTCCAGGACTCGCCGCGGGAGTCGAGCTCGTCAAAGACCTTGAACGAGCCGCGGACGCAGTCCTGCATCAGAGGAGTGTAGTGGCGGACGGCCTTGGGGCCCATGGCGGGGGGGAGGAACTTGTGCGCAAGGCGCCAGTTCTCGGTCTCGGTGTCGCCGATGAAAATGGCAGAGTTGTCCTTGATGCCGAAGAGGGGATGCTCCTCGCTGATCCTCTTGGTGAAGTAGGCGGACTCGGACAGGGCCACCAGAGCGACGTTCGGGTCGTCGGTCAGGTAGTTGGTGCGGCCCATGTTGGTCGTCTTGATGACGTGGCCGTACTTGCGGAACAGGCGGTAGTGGTTACCCAAGTGGTCGGGGAAGATCTCGTAGTAGGAACCGACGACGGGGAGACCCTCGGGACCCTGGGGGTCGCGCACGGGGTTGCCGTCGATGCGGCAGGCTACGGGGCTGGTAGCCCTGAGGACGTCCACGACAGTGTTGAGGATCTTTTCATCGTCGGCGTCGATGTGGAAGGTGATGCCTTTGAGAAGGTTAGTGTGTGTAAGATGGGGGAGAGAGAAAGGGGGAAGAAAACATACCAGTAGGCTGAGCAACGTGGTGAGCAAGACCAACGGCCCTCTTGAGCTCCTCAAGCTTCCACTTGGGGTCAACGACGACGCCGCGAGCGGATGATGGCTCGTCGCCAACGAGAAAGAAGGTTTGTGATGTTGACATGATGATTTGATGACTCTGTGGTTCAGGTGTAGACACAAACACTTGAATTACTGGAGATGGATCATCAAAACTACAAAATCCAAAAACAAAAAGATGTCGTCTGGTCTTGATGGTTTTATATATCAAAGCTGGGCTGGCTGGGCTGGCTGGTCATGGTACGTATGGCTGGCCCGTTGGTCAGGACTGGGACTGTGTCAGGGAATACGACTAACAAACCATGGTGGATGGTGGATGAATGGGGATCATCGGGTCTCGGCATCTCGCTTTCCGCCGTCCGTTGCACTCCGAGTGGTCAAGTGGCTACGCAGTACACATTTTCGGTACAGTAGCATTACGCAAAAGGGCGGAAAAGGCAGATTGACAGGCTGGAACGACTGGGAAACCATCCAAGATCGAAGGTGCGGGTAGGGTCGTTCTTCGAAGAATCGTTGCCGTCGATCCCCGATTGTTGTCCGTGTGTGATCGGTGCCCCCGTATCAGTTGCCAGGAGTTCAATATCTCAGACTGGTGGAGTCTTCCTTTTCGTCCGACCGGTGTAAGTCCGGCAAAGACGGAAAGCTGAAATGGAACATGGAACATGGTGTAAGGGAAAGGGATTCTTTTTCTTTGTGAGGGACCGGCCAAGGTTGTAACTCGACCGAAGTTCGTGCGCCCAAACAATGATCCACTGAAAATGGCCAAAAGTCGGGCAAAGTGGCGGCCATCACCAATCGGATGCTGCAGAAAACCCATCTGTCAAGCTTTCGGTCAAGGACGGGAGGACAGCGAACAAGACGAACCCTGGTCTAGTCTACTTTGTTAGTGTAGTCGCCGCCGCAAGGGCCAGGTGCTTGTCTTGTCTTTCTGATACAGGAGACAGGGGGTTGCGATGAAACTTGGAGATACCTATCCATCAAAGTGTGGGACCGCTACCTTCTCTTCTTGTCAACGAATGCAGCACTTCTGCACACCGTGGTGGTAATGGGTGCCCATCACGAGTCAGCCAGGGAAAAGCAATGTTGAATGACCTTCCACGTCAAGGATAGGGCGGAAGCCAACGAAGGCGTGGAGAACCATCGAGACGGTGACCGAGGAACAGAGGAGTTCAACTCCATCCACGACCATGTGCATCTACATTCCACGTATCTGTTCGGCACCCGGTTCCGCATAGCGGCGCTCCGCTCGGGAATATCTCGCCGACAAGGGCGAGAAGAATATCAAAATCCCGATTCGGACGGACCTTGAAGTAAAAGAACAAATACCCCCTTTTGGCCACCACCACACCGAAAGTTTGTTCTTGCTTCTTGCTTGGTTCAACTTTAGTTGTTTGTCAGCTTTTTGTCTTGTTGCTTGTTCGCATTTTTGGATTTATATCCAACCCACTTACACTCGTTACACTCCTCGTTGTGTGTTTACCTGCTTTTGCAACGTTGCTGGTCAGCATTATATCAGAAACAAAAAAAAAAGGACAAAAACAACAAGAAGCGAAGATAATCATGGCCGCCACATTCACCCTCGACGAAGTGCGCAAGCACAACAGCAAGAACGACGTTTGGATGGTTATTCACAACAAGGGTGAGTTGTTTTCTTGTCCTATTTTCTTGAATGAATGAAGCTGACCTTTCCTTCCCAGTCTACAATGCCACATCATACCTCGAGGATCACCCCGGTGGCTCCATCATTCTTCGTGAGGTTGCCGGTACCGATGCGACCGAGCAGTTCGTCGAAGTCGGACATTCTGCCGAGACCGACGATATCCTAAAAGAGCTCTACGTTGGTGATTTGGCCGAAGATGTATGTTTTGGTCCCATTGTTTACTTTTCCCCTGAATCCCAAAACTGACCACGACCCGCGCATTAGGAACACGCCGAGGAGGTCGAGATCTTCAGGCCAACATTCGAAAAGGTCGCCATGGAGGCCGCTGTCGACGTCAAGCAGCTCGCCAATTCCAAGCTCAGGAAGAACGGCAAGAAGACCGTCGCCATGTCTTCCATCATCGCCAGCGTCGGCGCCGTCGGTCTTGCCAAGGGCTGGTGGACTGGCCCCGAATGGGCTATGGCCGCCGTCACCACCGCGCAGAAGCCCATCGGCCAGCTCGCCGACTTCATCCGCTCCAAGTTCGCCCAAAACGGCGGCTCTTCCAAGCTTTTCTGGTGGGGTGTCGGCATCGCCACCGTCGTCGAGCTCTCCCTGACCACCGCCGTCACCACCTGGGCTCTTTCCAAGTTTGAGGCCCAGAAGGAGTTTACCCACTTCCCCCGTAGCCGTCCGGCCAAGAAGGAGCGTAAGATGGCCATCCTCAAGATCCCCACCAACTCCACCAGCGGTCCCGCCGTCAAGCCTCCCGTGAAGGTGATCGACCCCGCGGACTGGCGCAAGTTCAAGCTCGTCCGCAAGGTGTTGGTTTCCCCCAACGTCTTCCACCTCGTCTTCGCCCTCCCCCACCCCACCGACGTCCTCGGCCTTCCCACCGGCCAGCACATCGCTCTCCGCGCCAACATCGACGGCAAGTCCGTCTCGCGCTCGTACACCCCCGTGTCCAACAACTCTGATCTCGGCCGCGTCGAGCTCCTCATCAAGGTCTACGACAAGGGTCTCATGACCAAGCACCTCGAGGGCATGCAAATCGGCGACCAGATCGAGATCCGCGGCCCCAAGGGCGCCATGCAGTACGCCCCCAACAGCTATGCCAAGGAAATCGGCATGATTGCCGGCGGTACCGGTATCACGCCCATGTACCAGCTTATCCGCGCCATCTGCGAGGACGAGAGCGACAAGACCAAGATCTCGCTGCTGTACGCCAACAACACCGAGGCCGATATTTTGCTGCGCCAAGAGCTCGACGGCTTCGTCAAGGCCTTCCCCGAGAAGTTGTCCGTGCAGTACGTCCTTAGCCAGGGGGACGAGAACTGGAAGGGCCTCAAGGGCTTCGTCACGGCCGATATGATCAAGCAGTTCTTGCCTCCTGCGGCGGATAGCACCAAGATGCTTCTTTGCGGTCCTCCTCCCATGGTGGCTGCTATGAGCAAGAACCTGGTTTCTCTTGGCTTCAAGGCCCCGGGTACGCTTTCCAAGGCTACCGATCAGGTCTTCCTTTTCTAAGTCCCGGGGAGCTATTCTGAGTGTCTCTTCTACGGTGGAACTATTTTTGGGGAGGTTTTAATCATCTGAGGTGGTGGTGGTCATCATTGTTGTTGTTGCTGTAATTGCATTTACATGGGTTTGCGAATTTTGGGTAGCAAAAGGGGTCATATTCAATGGTTGTTGTGGATGGGATATCATCTGTTTTTGGTTTATAGAGGATGGATATGGACGATTTGATAGAAACTTTTTCCTTTGTCATAGATATCAACACGATCGTTTACATTATTTTTGGTGTTTTCGCTTGCCGTGACTGACTTTTGACGTTTGTTTCCCCTGTGTTCTTCACGTTTTTCCGTGCATTCTCTCGAAACGGTCTGGATGACGAGATCCAATACTGTTCCATCATTACTGCCCAGGCCCTTTGAAATGTGTCTTGAAAGTTGAGGGCCCTGTCCCCGCCCACGTGTCTCAGGTAAATCCCGAGATATCTTCCCACCTGCGATTCAAATTTCGTGCGAGTTTCCCCCTTAACGTTAACACCAACAAACTTCAAGTGCCAAAGGGTGATCATCACCACGATTCCTTCCCGAAGGAACGATCTTCACCTGGTCTCCACCGCCTCTTCGATCTTTCGGCTTTTCTAGAACAAAGGACACCCACCGACTATTGGCCATGTGCAGCGCGGAAAACAAAAACAAAAAAAGGTTCGTGATCTTCAACAAAAACTTTGATTTGCATTTTGTGATCGAATTTGATAAAAACGTTGCATTCGGGAATAACCTCATTTTCCAAAACTCCATGTTGGAGACGAACGATGTCCGATGCTACCTGGGTAGTTAGTGTAAAGACACCAGCATCGCCAAGTCCACTAACAACACCGTCCCGCTGGAATCCCGATGGAGTCCTGGACACTGACGAATGCCAAGTCATCAAGCTTCAAATCCCTCCTTTCCCCATCGTCCTCCGCCGTCTCTTCTTTTCCCGGTTCGGTCCCGATCCATGTGAGCCAGCCGGTCCAAATTCGACCTCGAACCTCGTGCGGACCTCGAACAGTCCAAAAGAACAGATGGGCATCGTCCATTCTTCGAAGAATCCCCGTCTCTTTTCCTTAGTAGGATCCACAAATGAGGCATATGGAAAATATGGAGAGAGCCAGGCTAGTCCCTGCTCCCACGACGTGTCCGACTCCATTATCACCAATACGTTGTAGTGTAAAAAAAACCATAGGCTCCGCAGGGTTGGGGGCCGTGCGGGATTTCCATGGATGTTGCCGCTTCGGAGTTGAGGTGGTTTGTCGAACTCCACTGGTTTCTGGAGCCGTTGAGACGTGGTGACGTCGACGTATTTGTGGACAGGGGCTTCCGTCATCGATTTGCTGGGCAATAAATGGGAAATGGGCAACAACACATTTCTCTCTGGGTATCAAAAACCGATGCCAAGTGCCGTGACGAATATGATCACTGCATGGATGGGAAAATAGTGGTCGTGGTGGTGTAACACTGTTTTAGTGGTTGTTAGTTTATACACCTGGCACTGACCGTTGGTGAAACCCGAGAAATCTACGAGTGGGATGCAAAATGTCAGCGGTGTGTAAGTGCCTGATGATTGCGAATGGCTTCTTCCGCTTCCAGTCCGCTTCCAGTCCGCTTCCATCAGCACTACACGTAAAGCTAATGGAAACTTCCGTCTACACCCGAGCGTCATTCACCGATCCCATACACTTACCTTATCTCCTTTACACTTTTGCCACATAAGAAAGTCCCCTCCGACACGGCAGCGAGTTTCATCCGGCTTACATACACTACACTACCACGCGCGCAAGAATAAAGTGGACCTTGATCTTAGTAAGTCGGAGGCTCTCCGACGGCAATCTCCAACGGCACGCTCGGGAGACGAACGAATGAGCGGTAGCCTTCGCTTATCAACCGAGCTCCTTTTCAGCTGGTTGGTTGTTTTTTTTGCGAATACCGGTCTGGCTGAATGCCCCTGTCGAGGCTCACTGCTCGCTGTCAAGACCGGACTGCCGGTTCTCATGGCATCGACACGGTCCCCGGTTTCTTTTTCAGCCTTGACGCCTCACCTTGACTTTTGACCTTCAGAATATTCAGCCCGTCGGTCTGATCTACACGTGTACTATGGTCTCGGTCTTCTCTCGCTCTCAGATCCTCTTTCCCTGGTTGGATTATTCCCGTCCGCTTCTTCTACACAGTACAGCACGGGTTCATCCCCCCACAAGACCCCTATGTTGCTATTCCCGGATATATTTTGTTAGGTCCCGACCTTTTCGAGCGGATGACTCCCGTCGTGTCCGCTCATACGAAGGGCTGAAGGGTTTACAGTAAGGGGTTCCGAAACGTGCTTGACCCTGATGGATGGATGCCCAAGTGTCCCAAGTCTCCAACATGATGAGACGCCGTACTTACTTCGTCCGAGCTTCGGCCGTGCTTTTCATGATACCCCCCTTGGCTTGGCCCCCCTTCTCCTTCTTTCCCTTGCCTTTGGCCTTCCCAAGTTCAAGGATCCATGACACCGATCATCATCATCGGGATCTCCCTGACTCTCCTGGCACTGCCACAGTAGCATCGAGAACCGCGCAGTACCGAAACGTTCCAAACTGCCCCTTGCCACGGGTTCACCAACTGGCGGACGGAGTTTCTCGGGATGTCTAGTGACCAGTCAACACTCTCCTCAACAATGTCCATCGTCATGACGCGGTGCACCTAGGTACTGTAGCGGTCTGTGAATCCCTAATGTTTAATGATTTGTGTGTAGTGTACGTATCGGTAAGCAAGACAGGAGAGCCATATCATCATTCATCAGGGAACCCCTATCCACGATGCTTGGTCCACAAACACCATCATGTAAGCAAATCAAGGAAAAGGCGTTCCTGTTGTAAACCGGTGTGCTGTGCTGTCAGATTGGTCAATCTGGTTTGAACGAGCCGATATGAACCGAACCGCTCTTCCAAGCATGATTGATCGGAATGAGGTACTTGTAGTTAGCGTTACCGGCCTCGCGGAACCACGGAACTTCGCGCTCTTTTTTTTTTCTGTGGTGGAAGTGTTCTGTCAAAGCTTCCATGTCCCACTCGGACGTCGTTCGCACGCACGCACGCACGCACGGCTTGGTCGGTAATGTGTTCGAGACACCGTCTTCGGCCAACTCGTGACTACGATGCGTGCTATTCCCAGACTGGCGGATCATTTGATGGCCACACTATGCCCGGATTCCGGAAACCGGAAACCGGTGGTGTGTCTGGGTTCAAATTTGATGTTGTTGTTATATATCTTCCGTGTTTTGACTCTCGCTGAAAGTGTGTTGTTAGCATATTCACTATCATTCATCCCATCTTAACAACCATTCATCCATCCATCCATTGCATCTTTTGACTGTTTACTTTCCCCTTTTCTCCCTTACAACCTTTTAGCTATTAACCTCCTTTTATCTCACACATCTTAATCAACGACTGCACAAACAAACATCATGGTCTGGTCACCCCCCCAAATCGGCTCCCGCCCCGTCGCCATCCTTGGCGGTGGTGTCCTCGGCCGCCGCATCGCCACTTCCTATGTCGCCGGCGGTTTCAACGTGCACATCCGCGACCCCTTCCCCCAGGCTCGTGAGGACGCTCTCAAGTACATCGAGGAGAACAAGGAAGCCTACACCTCCTTCTGCCCCAACGGCAAGCCCGCCCAATATGGCACCTTCACTGCCTCCGAAGACATCGAGACGGCGGTAAAGGACGCCTGGCTCGTCATCGAGGCCGTTCCCGAGAAGATCGAGCTCAAGATCGACACTTTCGGAGAGCTGGACAAGTACGCACCCAAGGACTGCATCCTTGGATCCAACTCGAGCAGTTTCAAGTCTTCGTTGATGCTGGACAAGGTCAGCGACGAGAGGAAGAAGTTGGTCTGCAATATCCATTATACCATGCCGCCGACCATCAGGACGGTGGAGTTGATGACGGATGGGTATACCCATCAGGAGATCTTCCCGTTCGTGAGCGACGTGCTTAGGCAGTGCGGTATGCTTCCCGCGACGGCCAGGAAGGAGTCTACTGGGTAAGTGCTTCCATGTCCCCTATTCTTGGTCGTGATGATCCACTCGGACCTCAAGCACATGGCATCGGCCGAGATATCACCTTGTTTGAACCATCACTGACACTTGTCACTTCAGCTTCATCTTCAACCGTCTCTGGGCCGCCGTCAAGCGTGAGATCCTCACCATCCTCGCCGAGGAGGTCTCCGATGCCGCCGAGATCGACGCCCTCTGGGCTCACATGTTCCAGGCCTCCGTCCTCCCCTGCCAGCTGATGGACCGTGTCGGTCTTGACACCGTTGCCTTCATCGAGGACAACTACATCAACGAGCGCAAGCTCGACGGCTCTTTGACCGTCGACTGGCTCCGCAGCAGCTACATCAAGCAGGGCAAGCTCGGTCTCAAGACCCCCGAGCAGGGCGGTCTCTACCCTCCCTCCACCGTGGCCGTCAACCCTCCTCTCAACCCCGCTGCCTCCTCTGCCCAGGCTTCTGGTCCCAAGATGCCCCCCATCTTCGTCCTTGACGTTGGTCTCGGCGCCAACTCCCCCTCCTACCCTTCCCTGTCGGGCATCTCCACTAACGGCAAGATCCTCCGCCTCGACGCGCCCAACCAGCCCCCCAAGGCTTTGATCACCGGCCTCCCCGCTCCCGATGGCATCGACGTCGACCCCTCCGTCAACCGTATGTACTGGACCAACATGGGCGCCGACGTGACCGCCAAGGACGGCACTCTCATGTCCGCCACTCTGGACGGCACCGACAAGAAGGTCCTCCTGGGCGACGGTGTCCTGACCACCCCCAAGCAGCTCATCCTCGTCAAGGATCAGGAGAAGGGCACCGAGAAGCTCTACTTCTGCGACCGCGAGGGCTGCTCCGTGCACCGTTGCAACGTCGACGGGTCGGAGCACGAAGTGCTCGTGCAGAACCCCGGCAGCGTCGGCGACCTGATGCACTGGTGCGTGGGCATCACCGTCGATCTTAAGACGCGCAAGTTCTACTGGACGCAAAAGGGCCCGTCCAAGTCCAACGCCGGCCGCATCTTCCGCGCCAACATCGACTTCGCTGCTGGCGAGAATGCGTCTAACCGCAGCGACATCGAGGTCGTGTTCGATAAGCTCCCTGAGCCGATTGATCTGGAGATTGAGTCCGAGACTGGTGTCTTGTACTGGACTGATCGCGGTGAGCACCCGCGCGGTAGCTCGCTGAACTGCGCCCAGCCCGATGGCGATAAGCAGGTGAAGCTTCTGGCGAGACAGTTCCATGAGCCCATTGGTCTTAAGTTGGATCTGGAGAGGAAGCAGATCTTTGTTTGCGACTTGGGCGGTAGCGTTTATGCGGTTGATGTCGAGACCGGCAAGAAGACTGTTGTCCATCGTGATGAGGGATCGTATACCGGTCTTGTTACCCTGCCTCAGGCTTAGCCGGTATCAGTCATGGACTCGGATATCACACTTGCATAGAACGGTTGGAATAGATGGTTGGGATAGATAGATAGCATTGTGGTCGGCGTTGATCTTTTTGGGTAACACGGGCATAGCATGTCTCTTTATACCCTGTTTCGTTACTATAGAAAGCATTTTTAATGCATAGACTGGCAATCAGAGCTTCAATTAGCATTGATCTTACAACTCTCGTGATCTTTGTTCGTGCCGTGGACCGCGCTGTTGTTGATGGGTGGTGATCCGATATTTTGATGTTTCGGCGAAGAATTCCATGACCCCTGGACACGACTCCCGCCAGTTCGTGTACTGACAGCTGAGCTTGTGCCTGCCAAGATGTGCTACAGCGGCTGAGTAAAAATGTGTTAGCGCTAGTTACACCTGGCCTTCAGCAAGGTTCGAAGCTTGGCGCCCCTGGCTGTCAACACCACATGTACATCGCGAAGTAAACAAAAAATGATTTCCAGGTTCTGATTGTTGGACTCTCTCCCCGCTCAGGTCAAGTACAGCTAATACCATTAAAGGTCTAGTCATCTAAGTCATAAACCACGGATATCATTCTGTTCCTTCACGCATCTTGCCAGCCGTGGACCAATTATCCCGTCAAGCATCATCACCACTATCCCACGATCTCTAAGGTCCATGAAAGGGATGAACACAAATAGAATCCTTCACTCGCAATGTTTCAGTCACCAAATGGGCCTTGTAAGATACTTTGTCTAATTAGAGCTTTGTTCTTGACCAGCATCATGGAGTGTACTTCCACACCCTTCACCCTTGCACTCACCACATGGTGATGATCAATCTTGCTCTAGAATTCCTTATTTCGTTACTTGTCATATAATCATGGCTCATCATGTCCTGCCTGTTAATACCTGCCCTTTATTTGCAGACTAGATTCTGAACGCCGTATGCTATACCATAATCATGCTGTGGTCTGCTTTCCCATGCTCTGAAACATGATCCTCCCTTCCTTCCTTCCCAACGTCTTCCTCAGTTACCAGGCACAACCCCCAAAACACCTCCATCAACACAAATCACACTCCCATTCACATACCGATCCCTCGCCAGAAACAGCGTCGCCATAGCCATCTCCTCATCATGACCCGCCCGTTCCGCCGGAACCTTGTGTCCATGCCCCTTAACCTTCTCATCCGATAATTCACTCTTATTCTTCTCATCGCTCTCCCCCGTCGTCATCTCTGACGGAAAATACCCGGGAGCAATGGAATTGCTCTAATCCCCGTCTTCTCAAACTCCGTAGACATCAACTTTGTCAAATGCACAGTCGCGCCCTTACTAGCATTATAACTGAAATGTTTCTGGGCATTGCGCATGATCCCGCTCATCGAAGAGATGACGATCACGTTACCCGCCATGTGGCTGCTGTGTCCCTCCTGATCGGGGTGCGGCTCGGACTTGCTGCATGCTTGCAAAAGGGGCAAGAAGGCGACGGTGGTGAAGTAAACTGAGGATACGTTCGTCGTAAAAACGGAGGACCAGTCGTCGAAGGATTCCTTGGACCAGAGCTCCTGGGCGATGGCCGAGGCGGAGTCGGAAACGCCAGGGTCGGCTTTGGGGCCCGAGATGCCGGCGTTGCAGATGAGGACGTTCAAGTGTTTTTCGCGCGAGGAGAGGTCGGTGACGAGGGATTGGAGCGAGTCTTTGTCGGTTACGTCGCAGGGGCCGATTCTGTGGGGGAAGGGGTTGTTAGCTGAATTGGTTTCTGGGTTGGAGGTCGAAGGTTGGAAGGAGGTTGTAAACACGGAGCAGGAAAGAAAGAAAAAAGACACACGGAATAATCTCCCCCTTCCCCTCGTTAGGACTATGTTCCCTGGCGGCATTCTCCAAAACCTCAAATCTGCGACCGGTGATATACACTTTCGCCCCATTGGCAGCAAGTGCTTGGGCGTTCATCAAGCCGATGCCGGTGCCGCCGCCCGTGACGAGACAGACCCAGCCGTCGACGTTGAAGAGCTTGCCTGCTTGGAGGCAGTGTGTGTGGACCATTTTGTTTGTTTGTCTGTCTGTCTGTTTGTCTGTCTGATTCTTGTGGTTGGGTTTGGTCGGGGGATGGTTCAGTTGGAGAATGGTATTGGGTTGTGGAGGGAGGTTCGTGGAGATCGTCGAGGTTGTAGAGGTTGTAGAGGTCGTGTAAGTGTAAGTGTTAACGCAATGTTGATCGCGACTTGATGGTGGTTGGATGGTTGGATGGTTTCTGACGCCGAGAAAGGGGACAACAGCTTTTTAGAAACAGAATGCTTAACAATCGTCAAAAAGAGGCAGTCGCACAAGCATCTCCATCCAAAGACCAGAACGACGTCATGTCCACATCTGCGCGGGTACGACACCCCTACGTCATCGCGCGCAGCCCTTACAAACCAGCGAGTTAGCGGGCCGAGTGCCTGAAGGTCAGCGGATTATAGCGCTTCTAAGCTCCCATTCAGCGCAACCCATCATCAAATGGAAGTAAATAATTTACCGCTTTCGGTATCCCGTTTCGAGGTCGTCTCCAGTCCCGTCGTCTATGTTGCCGTTCATCGGATTTCGAGGTGCGGATCGACCGAACCTTCTTCAACTCTACAGTACTATTTGAACCAAGTCCCGCTACATCGCAAGCAGAGAGCCAGAAAGACGGCAGAAGAGATGTATAGCAGTTTTCTATATCAAGATTTTTTGAAGGGTTTATTACATGAGATAATTCGCCCACCTTCCACCCGCCTCTAACATCCACCAAAACACAAAGTCTACAAAAGAGAAAAGGTATCACGACATTCTTCCATCCCAATCCTTCTACATCCGAGTCCCGCGACATGACGCCAAATGCAAACAAAGGAAACCTGCTTCTGATCAGACAAGATCGAACATTACATCCTTCACCTATCACTTGAAGTTCTTTTCACTTTCCTCCCCGAACCTTATTCACCATCTAGTCCTTTGCCTCGACACTCGCTCAGTTCTTCTCCTTTACATCCTTCTCCTTCTCCTCCTTCTTCCCACCAAACACACCTCTAACGCTCTCCTTGATCGTCCCAACAACCGCCCCAGCCACTCTACCAATGAAGCCGAAACCGAAAGACCACCCCTTGACTCTAACGGTGTAGATGAAGAAGTAGACCAGCCTGTTTTTTAGTCGCATGTTAGCATCTCTGTTCAGTTCATCCCAACACAATATTCGTTACAGTTCAACTCAAAGCCAAACTGGCAAAAGAAAAGGAAAAGGGGAAAACGAAAAGGAAATACTCACGCCCAATTACTCAGACAAAAAGCCGCAAAAATCCCAAAATCCCTCCACATCTGTCCACCCCTCACATTCAAACTGCCCAAATACTCCTCCCCATCTTTATAAGGACAATACCCGCACTCGAGCCCTGCTCCCCCTCCATTACCATCGTCAAAAACGCCCAGCGTCGTGAGATACCCCCTTCCCACCCCAGCGGCCCAGTTGCCTGCAAAACCCTGACACGTCTCTCCGACCGGCGGCCTGAACACCGCCATCTCGGTATCAGAACAATGAACGGTTTGGTTTCTGAGAACAGCAGCCATTATCCCGCCGATCCAGTAGGTCGCTGGGTTGAGGTAGTATAACCACCACTTCCATGCCACATTCATCTGTTCCCAGGGGACGACGACGCCGTTGAACAGACAAAAAATGACCAGGAAGAAGGGCAGGACGTTGGTGATGACTGCGAAGGAAGGAGCAAAGGCGCAGATCCATTGACCCCAGGAGGCGATGAAGATCATGAATGACACGGTCATCAGCCAGACGTAGACTGCGGATTCGGCCTCGGCGTGACCGGTGCCGCGCGGGAGGCCGGTGGGGAGGTACCATGCTAGGAAGTAGATGGTGCCTGCTACCAGCGAGCCAGGGATTTCAGAGAGGATCTCGGCAGTGCAGAAAGCTACCCACCCGTAGATACGGGAGGGGTGCTCGCGGGCTTCCCAGAGGGCGCGGGACATATAGAATTTGGGCAGGACAGCGTTGAGTACGGTGGTGGGGATCATGATGATTAGGAAGGCTGTAAACAACGTGTTTTGAAGCTCGGTTAGAGAGAGAGGGGAGGAGCCCGGAGTGGGAGAGGAGATCTTGTAGTAGGTGAAGCCGTTGAAGATGCCCATGACCAGGGAAATAAAGAGGCGGCCGTAGAGGTAGGACGGGTCGCGCCATTGGCGGATGAACATGCGTTTGGTGAGGAGCCAGGCTTGCATCGGGATAGGGGCGGCAAACTCGTGTTGGATGGGTTGGACTTGGTTGTTATTGAGAGAAAGTTGGGCGGCCAGCGTACGGGTTTTCTTGATCTGGGAGATCTCGGAAAGGACTTGACGGTATTCGTCGGACTCCTTCCACTCCGTCGCCCAATGCACCCTCCTGGTCTTGCCGTCTTCATCTACACGACGGTGAGGCTTCGCGGCTGTCTCAAGGAGGAACTCGGCCACGTTCTTACCCGGGGGACACTCAACTCCACGATCGGCAAAATAGTTGACAACCGAAGAACCGTTCTCGCCAACGGGACCAAAGTAGAAGACGTTACCGCCTGGATTGAGGGCAAGGATTTTGTCAAACTCCTGGATCAGGTCGGAGCTGGGCTGATGGATGGTGCAAACGATAGCTTGTCCAGCAGCACACAACTTCCTCAGGAAACGGACGATAGACATTGCCGATTGGGAGTCCAAGCCACTGGTGGGCTCGTCAAGGAACAGCAAGAGGGATGGCTTAGCAGCCAGCTCGACACCGATCGTCAACCGCTTCTTCTGCTCAACGCCCAAGGAACAGATGATGGCATCTTGGATATCTTCCAGCTCGAGGAGGTTGATGATGCTATCGACGTAGGCAATCTTTTCAGCACGGGGGATATCGCGGGATTGACGAAGCAAGGCAGAGAACTCGAGAGCTTCACGGATGGTAGTAGACTCATCGTGCAAATCCATTTGCTCAACAAAACCGGTACTGCGTTGGAAATCGGTACCAAGGGGCTTGTTGTCAACGAGCATGTCGCCAGTAACTACACCGACAGTCTGGCGCTGAGACAAGGTGTTGAGAAGGGTGGTCTTGCCGGCTCCGGAGGCACCCATCAAAGCGACCATGACGCCTGGTTTGGCGTAGCCAGACACCTTGTTGAGAAGCCGCTTGGGGCCCATAGGGGTGGGAACAGTGTAAGTGACATTCTCCCAGGTGAAAACCTTTTCAGACTTCTCAATGGTGCCTTCCATGTCCTTGCGAGATGGACCACTGGGAGTCTTGTGTCCAAAATCGTCGGTAGAGGATCCTCTCGAGCTGCCCTTTTCTTCATCATGCTTGCCTTTAAGGACAGCGAGATGCTTCTTGTTTTTGGAAGACTTCTTGAACACAAGAGCACCGCCGCCGCCACCAACAAAGGACAGCCCCTCGGTCGCCAACACCGTGACAAGCAGATACAGCACCACAAAAGCGACAACAACTCCCCAGTTTCTCCACACGTGTCCAAAGCTGTACTGGAACTGGTTGGCGAGATAGGCATCTCCGTTCACTCTGTCATCTCCCGGCCTGCCACCCGGAAGCGTGCATCCCTGATTCTGCGGCTGAATACCAGTACCCTGGGGTACCAACATCTCCGGCGAGCATTGCATCTCCCTTCCGTGAAAGTCGTTGGACAAGACTGCCTCGAACGAGTAGCTGACGGGACTGACATGGTACAGCCAGCCGAACCATATCTTCTCGCCAAGCATGACAGGTTTGGTCATAACATACCCGCAGTACATGACGACCAAGTTGAGGGCCAGACCAGCAAACCGCACCGCGTCGTCGATGGACGGGCTCAAAGCGGCAAACATGCGATACAAGGCAGTCAGACAGTAAGTAGTCGTGAAGATCAAGAGACAGTAGGTGAAGAACTTGCCCGGGTCGCGGTCCAGCCCTGTCATGAAGTAGACAATCAAGCTGAAGATGATGACCTGGGCCAGCAACAAGGGGAAATCCATAATAGCACGAGCGAGGTTGACAGCCGATGGTCGGTAAAAGGCATACGCCCGATGCCTGCCAACCACCGCCCTGCCACTGACAGCCTTCATCAGCTCCGACATCTGGAGCCAGCCGAGAAAGACGATGCTGAAGAAGACGGTGCCGCCTCTCATAAAGGCGCCGGAGGTATCGGTGGGTGAGTCATAGAACAGGGAGCTGACTACAAGAGCGTTGCTAACGATAATGAAGAACTTGGTCCACAGTTCCTGCTTGTCACCCAAACCAGCCAGGCCTCGCGGCGCGTGCAGGCGGCGACTTGCTTGAAGAAGGAGACGGTGTAGTTGGACTCGTCCGAGACGCGGCGGGACTTTTGCTCGGAGACGGACTCCTTGAAGGCATTGGTGTCGGCGTGGTTGGTTTTGAGGAGATGGGATTCGTAGTCGCGAACGTCGGTGAGGACGTCTTGGTAGGCCTCACTGGCGAGGAAGGCCTTCTCGAGGTCTTCGGCCGTTTTGGGGCAGCGATCCTTCCAACCGTCACGGAAATGGCGAGCATTGGGGTCACAGATGGAGGTGAGGAAGTCCGGTGTGGTTTGTCTTGGCGGCGCGTGGAAACCGAGATCGATGAAATATTGTCTGGCTTTGGATGCCGGGCCTTGGTAGAGCATCCGGCCTTCGTCGATGACGAGAACCTTGTCCATCAGCTCGTAGATACCCTCGCCGGCTTGGTACAGCGTGGTGATGGTGGTGCGGTCGCTGACGTCGGTCATGATGCGCAAAGAGCGGGCATAGTCGAGGGCTGTGGAGGCATCGAGACCACGGGTAGAGTTGTCCCAGCACACGACAGAGGACTTGGTGGCCAAAGACTCCTGGATGGAAACACGCTTGCGCTCACCACCGGATACGCCACGGACGTAGGCGTCACCGACAATCGTATGGCGGGTATGGGACATGGCGAACATCTTGAGCAGAGCGGTGACGATGAGCTCCATGTCACCGCGCAGGCGCTTCTTGGTCTTGTTGAGGAGAGAAAACTTGAGTGTCTGCTCGACGGTGAGGGTAGGCAGATGCAAGTCATCCTCGCCGTTGTAGACAACCTCGCCGCGGTACTTCTTGGCTACTTCCTCAGCAGAGATGCCGCTGTAGTGGACTTCACCCTCTACACCAGCGTAACCCATGCGGTTGTTGGCGATGACCTTGAGGAAGGTGCTGCAGCCGCTGCCTGGACGACCAAGAACAAGCATGATCTCTCCATGACGAACAACACCGGTGAAGTTGTTGAGCAGTGTCCGGAGCTCTGGCTTCCGACCGAAGCGCAAAGCAGGAATGTAGTTGCCGAGAATGCGGTAGAGATCGGGGCCAAAGGTGCCCAAGATGGCTTCGGGGAGTGTTCGAACAAAGGTGGCGCCGGTGCTGACACCCTTGACGGTGAGGTTCTTGAAGACGACGCCGACTTTCTTGGTGGACTCGCCGGCCTCGTTGCGCTTCTCGAGATGGCCATCGCGCATGAACTGTTCGAGCTGAAAGTCCTCGTCGCTATTCCGGTCGCTAGACAAAATGTCTCCGTGGCCCTCGTCCTCAGAGTCCTGGTCATGTTGCTTGCCATCGCCCATAGCGTTGCTCATGGCAACTGACAAGCGCTTGAACAAGCCATCTGGTCTCCCGCTGGTAGCGCGAGATGCCCTCGACACCGGACGCGAACCTGGTTTTGATCTGGTTGATCTTTCCCTGGTCAACCGCGAGAGACCCTGCCGAAGTTCTTCAAAGTCCTGCATGGCAGCCTCTCTGTCGACAGGGCCACCAACATCGCGTTCTCCCCAGGTGCCATCGTGGGATACTGCGGTGTTGAGTTCTGGGCGTGTCTCGTCTGGGTATTCGTAGCGGGTGTAGTCGCGACTTGCCCGGTGATGGAGTTCGTTGGGAATTGTGTTGGCCGCACTTCGACGGTAGGCCTCCTCGGACTGGTGGCCGAGCATAGTGGCCGTTGTTTCTTGGTGTTGTTGTTGTTCCTGCGTTTGGTGTTGCACTTGATCTGACGGGCGTTGGTGATATGTTGTGTGTCGGTGGTGGTGAGAAAGAAGTGTCAAACTCCGCTTGTCAAAAGAAATGAAAAGACAAGCGAGGAACTTTTGCTTTGGAAGGAGTGAAGTGTCTTGTCAGCAAGAATTGTCCGTCCGATGTTGTGTCTGTTAGTAAGGGAAGGAAGGGTCGAGTCTTACTTTATCTCCGACTGAGCAGGAGGAATTACACAAAACTCAGAAGGAAAGTCCCATGCACACACACAACCAGCGTGGCTGCCTTGTCTAAGAAAAAGAAGTGACCAATCAAGGCCTCCAAATGTTAAAAAGTCCGAAAAGGGGAAAAAGAGAAAAGAACAAAATGGCTGAAAGACGGTAGAAATTCCGGCAATTTTAACAGGGACTGCCAGTCTTTTCAAGGGGGTCTTTTCAACAGTGTGCGGTTGTCTGGTCATGCACAGCACCAACCTCTTCAGATGTATACTAATGTCGAGGCCGTCTGAGCTTGTTGGGTCTTCAAGGTCGAGAGCACTGGTTCAAGTGAGAATCTATCGGATAGTGACGAAGAGGATGGGACGACATGTCGAGTATATATCGGATGTAGTCGTCCATGTTACATCCGTGGAATGTCGTGAGAGTGTCCTCTTCCAACTTGGAATTGTCATCACGGAGAGACTTTCAAGAGTTGATCTCCACCTCGATTAGGAAATGATGGAGGGTCTGGACGGCACGGATTGGTGATACACTGACCGTCGAAGGGAGGGTCCACGAGAGACCCTCATCATCATGGATGGTACATCTCCTCTCCCGAGTCGTTGTTGCTGGGACCACGGCGTCGCCGAATGCGGACTACCTACGCGCAAATACAATCACTCTCGGATCAGGATAACGATGATGTGCGGCCAGGCTGCTTTGGACCGCATGCGCATCTGCTCGTCTCAGATGTTGTGTCTGATGTGGTCTGTGCCTTTTGACGCTTTACAGAAGGACTTTAGCCAATGGAAGTCCAGATACAAAGTCCGAAAGGGCCGGCTATTTCCCGGCCATTGGCTGTTTGCAGGCACCTTCTAAAACCTAAATCCATCGTTTGTGTCGGGGGACGTGGTATCCATTGGATCTTTTGGGTTCCGAGGGGTATGACAAATGGCAGATCTTGGACCTTATTGCACCATTCATTGTGACTCATTGCCGCATTGCAATTTAATCAATGTGTGGGAATGGAATTGAGCCGAAAGAAAAAGTGAGAATGTGTTGTTGTTGAGGAAGGAACGAAGGAGATAAGACAAGGTGGGGGTTGAGACGGGAGAGGCTCGAATTTGTAAGCCCGAAAGAGGAAAACAATCTCACCCCTGCCGCACAGGTCTTGTCTGGGCTTGGGCCTGGCAGCCAGCTGTCTGTTGTCTCAGCCGGCCTCACTTCCCGTACACGGTCGCTTTGTGCGTTTTGGTTTTGCTGTTGGGCTGTTGGCATCAACCTTCACATTTCGAACTTGTCTGTTTGAACACAATCAGAGCCGGAGTAAATGCCGTCAACTTCTACCGATCACCAAAACCTTCCCGGCCTCGAATGCCGGACCTGGAGACGGAGGGATTTTGCTGTTGACGAGCCTCACTTATGGATGATGAATAGCCATGATGAATGATATTGACGGCGCTTAACTTTGTCGTAAGAGTAAACATAAAGCTCCAAGTCCGCAACTTGGGACTCTCTTTTGCATTCACCATCGCATCACCACAACAGCACCAATCCAGAACTTACGCCATTGTCAAACCCCAAACGTCAATCATCAAAAACATCTGCCAAAGACAAACACCCTGGAACCCCGACTTTTTCCAACTTCTCGTATGGATCTTCAGTATCACAACATCACAACATTACCTCGATTGATAATGTGCAGACGCATAAATCCGAATTTCGCAAACATCTTGCAAGAGCGCTAACCTTAAACGCCTAACGCCGCGACAGCAACCTCAACCATCCCGGACATTAGAAATCAACATCCACTCCCACGATTGATCCACGGTTACACGATGGGTTGAGTTCCACCGCAGCAAGTCATCAATCAACAAAAACGTGGCCTTGCTTTCACGTTCTCGACGCTGACGCCAAGATGTCGTGGGCTTTTGCTCACCACGGCACTGCCATAATGTTTCGTGGGAGAAAGGCACAATCCTCCAACTCTTGACAGGCTACAAGGGCGCAAACCCCCAAGCCGCAGGGCAACGGAAACGATGGAAGCCGGCTTTATCACGAGCGACCAAAGTTCCAATGTGTGTTTCAAGCCTCTTCTTAACCATTTCCCCTTTCTAGCTTCTCCTTAGTTCTCAGCTATCAAAGCATCCCGTACAGTCTCACAAAGCGGCGTCGCAATTCCTCTTGTTGGGGACTGTCAGCTGTCTCGGGTCAAGCTCCCGTTGGCACTTTTGGCACTTTGGCACTTACACTAACAGCGCTAACCCCAAAAAGGACAAAGCTCTCCCGCTCCTCCCTACTGTCATCCCCAGTGGCGCCCCACTGCGGCTTCCAAAGTCCCACCATTTCTCCAACTGTACTCCAATTCACAGCATGCGGTAGGGTGTAGATTTATACAATGAATAATTATGATTCATCGTTAATCATTTTGGCTCATGCTGGCTCATGTTGGTTCATGCCGTGTCATTCATTATCATCCCGCAGCTTTGTGGCAGACATCACAATTCTTCGGTAGCCACGGCTTCTAGGACCAATGGTAATCGTGGATTCGAATCGTAATTGAGACGTGGTGAGAGTTGTATGCCAATTGGGGTGTGTAGGTAGTCTCATGTTGTTTTGTCTCCGATTGAGTTCGTGCCAATTGCCAACTGCCAAGGAGCAAGGAAGTCGAGAGTCGACAATATCGAGTTGCTGTCGTCTGAGGTGCTGAGCATCTGCGTTCGCGATTTCCTTGCGAAATATGAGATCCGCCAATGGAAGTTGGGTACGGACGACAAGACCAAAAGTGACATCGTTGTATGTGTCTGATATCGATGAAGTTGAGTTGAGTTGAATTGAATTCAGAACCTTTGAAGTGCTTAACACTTTTTGCCAGGTGTTGCTGTGATGGTCTGTTAGTGGAGGCCCGTGCACTTTATAAGTCCAGCTTGTAGCTGGGCATTGGCGTAACATCTTGTCCCTTAGGGCCATAGCTTGATCAACGATTGTTGCAATAGTGAAGTATTCTACGATGGACCAATTCTCGTGAGTACCCCTCTGTATGATAAGCAGGTATCTACCTGTACCTTTCCTTGATCTGGGTTGTAGCTTGTAGACGTCCCTGGGATAACTCTGTATCAGATGTGCCGGAGTACCGAGAACCGCCCGCGCCCGGTGCCACCTCGATATCGACTACATGGTCCGGCCAGCTCGTTTGGGTCGCCGGCGAGATTCTTTTCGTAGATGGTGCAGTGAGGCTCTTCTACGAAACGTTGTAGATCCCACGGGCGAAGAGAAAGGAGATATAATTTATGCAAGGCACTCAATAAATGTCCGGCGTGCTACCTTGTTTTAGTGGTGATGGTGGGTGATCTGATATGATTCATGATGTTTGGTATTTGAATCCCAAGGGTACGGGTTGTTAATGGAAAGTTGCGAGATATCAAACTTGTAAATAGCATCAGATAAGACGTTGATGAAAAGATAGAAGCACAAGTTCGCTGCATTAGAGCCGCAATTCGCATTTTCAAGCCATCCAGCCATCAATTCATGTCACCGTGATGCCGTGAAGGTCGGAAATATCAGGTGTAAGTAAACAACAGACATCTACACGCTCAACTATCACCATGATGCAACCACGTTCCCTATTCCAAGCAGTCACAGGCAGATCAAAGCTGCAATGCGGAAAAAAAGTATTGTCAATGTCAATTAAGAAGAGCCGACATCGTCTGAGTTCTCGAATCATAAAGCCCTTCATCCCATATCCTCTCCATCTTGAAGAACGTCTTGCTAACCACTGATCATAACGCTCCTCCGCATCTTCGCCATTGGTATCTTCGCCATTGGTATCTTCGCCATTGGTATCGTCGTCATTGTATCATCCTTCCACCATCCACTCCCAAATCAGTCTCCAACTCCCAGAGCCTCTGTCCAAACACAACAGGTACGTCTCTCTACCTCCCCTGCCTAGCCATAGCCAACATTTCCCTCAACATACCCACCTCCGCATCCCTTTTCGCCAACATCAGTTTCAACTCCTCCCTCTCCCTCTTAATCTGATCCACCTCCTCCTCGAGTTCTTGAATCCTGTCAATTTTCTTCTGGCGGTATTTCTTGGCGGCAATGTTGTTGCGCTGGCGCTTGACTAGGACATCTTCGGAGTCTGTGAACTCAGCCTCAACAGCGGCAGGAGAATGGGCGCGCTTCTTGCCGGGACCTGGGGGCCGACCGCGCTTGGGTTTGTTGGATGAAGCGTCGGGTGGGGAAGGGAGGGTTAGGCCTGGGTAGAGATGTCCCTGGTGGCCTTGTTGTTGTTGTTGTTGTTGTCTGTGATGGGAGGAGCTGGATGTTGGAGAGGTGGAGGAGGATTGGGAAGTTGGTGGTGTTGTTGAAGGGTCGCGACTGCTGTGGTGTTGGTTGTAGCCCATGTTACTGCTGCTTCCGGAGTTGCTACTGGCTGTCCTGTACATGTCCATGTCCATGTCCATGCTCATTGTTGTGTTCCTCCCACTTGGCATGGTTAGGCCCATGGCGGTGGAGAGCGAGTCGGTGACATGGCTGAGGGAAGCGGCGGCGTAGGGGTCGTCGGACGAGAGGTGGTGGTGATCGAGAGACAGGTGCATGGATGGTTGTGGTGGTACCGATGGTAAAGGATCGGCCCAGCCTTGTGTGAAGTCGAGATCGGTAGATGAAGAGAGGTCGTTGGTGTCGACGAGAAGTGGCGATGGTGTTGCTGATAATAAAGGTAGTGACGGCGCAAAGGGTGAGACGGTCGTAGAAGTGTCGCAAGTAGTGGTAGTCGAGATGGAAAAGGCAAGGGATGTCAGATCTTGTTGGTCGGGAAACAGAAGAGGGTCGGCCCAATTTTGAAGGTGTTGTTGTTCTTGTTGATCAAGGAAATGGTAGTCGCTTAGTAAAGAATGGCAAGAAAAGTCAAAGTCAAAGGGCGGTTGATGATGCTGCAACGAGTATTGCAGGCTGGAAGAAGAGGACGGAGAAGCGGGATGCGGCGGCTGCTGAGCATGCTGCGGCGGCCATTCTTGCAGAGTATGGACGGCCTCTTGGTCGAGGCCGGGAGAAGATTGTCTTGAAGGGGTTAAATGCAAACGGTATTGCCAGTCCGAGTCACCAGACTGGAAAGTTTGTTGATGATGGGAAAGGGGAAAAGAGAAGAGAAGGAAACGACAAGAAGGAGGCAAAGAAATAGACGGCCCCGAATTGGCGGGGTTCCTGTCAGCTTCAGGGCACTGGGCTCGTTACAGTGGAATGAGTGGCAGAAGTGGATCGTGATCTGGCGGGCAAAAGATGGAGTATGACAATGGGCTGATGCTCCACTGGAAGCTGCCAGCCAACCAATCATGCAGCTGTCTGAGGCAGTGCATTTTCCCATTTCGGCTGGGTTGATGTGTTCACCCTGTGGTGTGATTTATGGGTTTCTCCAACTGACTTATGTGCTCTCTCCACTTTTGGGAGGTACGTACCCCGACATCAACTTCTTGTTCGTCTGACTTGGACAACAGTCTTTCCTTTTCCACATAAAAACTTTGGGCATTCGGAGACCAAATGAGCTCTGGTTACACACTTCCCTTCTTCTAACCAACTATGTTTTCCATTCCTCGTCTCCAACCAGTCACCCTTCCAGTCTTCTCTTGTCCCCTTAAGGTTTTGTCTTCTTGGACAGCCAGCTCTACACAATGGAACACCATTCGGATGACTTGAACCAGCCATACACTTCCATTCGTGGGCTTTATAACTTGATTGGATTGATTGTACAACTTTTCTACCTCTACTGTTTTTCAGTTCAAGGTACTCCGACTCGGTGATGATGGTAACATCAACAGACCCCGCAAATCGCAATCAAGTCTCATGGCATACCGGGCCTCTCATGCTCCTTGCGGGTGGGCGAACGCTACAAATTCCTAAGGTAGCCAAAGGACGGCCGGACACCATGTCGCTCTTTCAAAAACAGTCACCAACCCAGGGCTCCAATGGGCGGCCTGGTTTCTTCGACATGTTGCCATGTTAGACACCCCGAATTCACCCACTTCAGATGTAGTGGCATCTCTTCTACCAGAGTTCTCCCTCGATCTTCCCACGAGAGCACCGCTGAATCTGGCTCCCCAAAACAGCTTCAACCGCAAGCCATCATCATGTCCGCGGATACTCTGCCATCTTTCCGAACTATTTCCCCGGCATCCCTCATTATGGGGGATACTGAAGCTCGGCTGGAGTCTATCGACGTCGACGATGATGGGGTTCGACAGAGATACCTAGGTAGGTATGGCGAGTTGTCGACAGAGTCTTGACAGCGATTCGAACGGCCTGCCTACTGCTACTGCCATTATTGACGCACCACCTGCTCCAGGTCGTAGATCGCCGTTCAATCCATGGTCCATATCTATGGGCATGTGATTTTCAGTTGGTCCAACTGCCTCTAGCGTTGAAGACCACTTTAGATACATGGTTGATGGTCCCCGAGACCGAGACCGAAGCCGGGCCGGAGGAAAAGACGAAAAAGCTAAAAGACGGTAACAGGCACAGTAGCCGCATCGAAAAGTCAGAAACCAAAACTGAAGCCGGGCCAGAAACGGTGCTGAGGATGCGCAGAAGCCTGACCAGAGGGAGGCAGAGGTAGAGACAGCAGCAGAAGCTGGAGCGTGAGCGGAGCGGAGACAGGAATCGAGCCATTACCATTACCATTGCCAAAGACCGGGACGGATAAGGAGAGGGATAAGGAGAGGTACACGCAGATGGATGATAGGAGACCCTTGCAAAGTCCCGAAGTTGTTAACCTTCATTCGCGCAGCTGGAGAGTAGGTACCGTAGAATACCTCGAATGGGATGTTAACAAGAGAATTGAGGCGAGCAATACTACTGCAATCACGACCAAGCCACGTCCGTAGAAAAATAAGAGAAAAAGGCACACAAACCAATCACTTGCCCAGCGAACTGAGATAACTACTTATACATCCAGCAAAAGTAAAATTGCATCACATCATGGGGGGATAACCCAGCCTCCAGCCCACACTGACTGTCCACGGCGATCAACACCAATCCTGACGTACAAATAATGACTCCATATCCCATCCCATCCCATTCCTTTCCCAATCAGTACCTAATCACCACCTAACTTCAACCCCCAAATCCCTCGAACTAAACCCTACCCTCAGAACATAACTCCCCTCTACAACCAACCTCCAATTTTGAAAGTTAACATCCCAATAACTCAAATCCCTTCTCGTCAACTTAAACTCCACCTTTTTCGTCTCCCCAGGTTCCAGATACACCTTTTCGAATCCCCTTAGGACTTTAACTGGGAAGTCTACCTTGCCATCAGTTCCGTTACTCGCACTTTGTTGATGGGACTGGGACTGGGAATCAGGGTACGACATATAAAGCTGAGGAACAGCGGCACCGGGAAGTGACCCAGTATTAGTCACGTCCACAGTGACTTTCACGCACGGCAGCCAAAGATCGGGGTTACCGCCTTCGTCACCGCCTGCTTCACTTAGTGGCTGCGTGATGTTGTACCCCTCTGGGTACGGGTACCGGTTACCCTTTTGGGGAGCGGCGACAGCGTCCGCTGCTTCGGAGGGGGTTAGATAGGGATAGATGTACTTGTCTAGCCTTCTGATCTCTTTGCCGTCACCCTCAGGCCACGAAACTTCTTCGACAGGCGGGATATCTTTCGAATATTCCGGTGGCGGAACGAGGGCGTCCAGCCTAGGAAACGGTAAGGCGGATTTAGGACGAACGGTTTTTACAGTAGCGTTGCCCAGGGAGAAGGTGGTGTAACTTAATCCATACCCAAACTCGTACCTAGGTGAGATGGAGTATTTGTCAAAGTAGCGATAGTCCACATATAACCCCTCGGAGAAATCTTGCTGCGGGACGACGCCGTTGGGTAAGTACAGGACCTGGCCGCCGGGGCCGTAATCTTCGAGAGATTTGCCGATGGTGAAAGGGAGGTGGCCTGACGGATTCACGTCCCCGAAGAGGATATCGACAAGGGCATTGCCGGATTCTTCACCGGGGAGGTTGGCGAATACCACGGCTCTGATCTGCGGGAGGTCAATCCATTTCTCTAGCACAACGGGGCCGACGGCGTGGATTATCACGATGACGTCGCTGAAGCCGGAGCCGCATTGTGATGCGACGGATTGGATTAGTGTGTCACCGTTTTTCTGGAGGAATAAATCGGGGCGGTCGCCGCGGACGTTGGACCAGGCTGTGAAACCTTCGCCGGCATCGGCGTTGACGAAGACGAGACAGAGGTCGAGGTCGGAGATCACGGCCTTTTCGGAGGTGAGGAGGGAGTTGGAGAGGTATTCGTGGAGCTGAACCTTTGACGAATCGAATGCCTTGCGGAGAGCTTCAACTGGTGTGACGAGGTAAGGAAATTCGACGGCCCCTGAGCCCCAGCCTGATCCTAGGGTGCCTTCGTTGCAGCCGCGGTCATTGCAGGCGTTGGGACCACTGGGGATGGGACCGGCGTCTTCGCCGAAGATCCCGATTTTTACTCTGTCGTCGGAGGTGGTGTTGGCGTCCTGGCGTTTGCGTAGTCCTTGTCGGGTAAGTGGCAAGACAGCACCCTCATTCTTGAGTAGGACAGTCCCCTCAGCAGCCACTTGCCTCGCAATAACCGAGTGATTGGCCTGCACGTCCACAAACTGATTAACCACCACCTCTTCCTGGTCCGTCGGGCTTCCGGGGCTCGTAACCCCCATTTTCTCGTCTGTCCAACTCGAAAATTGGGTCCCTTATCCCTCGGCCACTTCTTTTCGTCGTCCTGCCCCATTTGATACCAAGCCGCCACCACCCTCGTAACCATATCATCCATCCTCTCCACGGGAACGCTCCCGTTCAATACAGCCTTGCTGAGTTCCTTCCCCCATAGTGACTCGCCATTCGCCCACCGAAGTCCATCACCAGGCATCGTCATATCCAGCCCCGCCAAAGCGGTACTAACGCCCGCCCGCTGAGCCAACCAATCACTCATCACGAACCCCTGGAACCCTAGCTCGTCTTTGAGGATGCCATTCAGGAGTTTACTGTTCCCGCACGCATAGCTGTTATTAACCATGTTATACGAGCACATAACACTCGCCACGCCGGCCTTGACCGCATCTCCAAACGGCCATGCATAAAGCTCGTGCATCGCTCTATCATCCACATTCGAGGAGATCGCGTTTGGAATGCCCCATTCCCACGGTTGACGAAAGTGTTCCTGCTCGTTGGCGATGAAGTGCTTGACAGTAGCCATCACACCCTCGGATTGAATCCCCTTGATGGTCTCCGCACCAGCAATACCCTGGAGGTAAGGATCGGATCCAAACCCCTCCCAGTTCCTACCGCCAGCTGGCATTCGACCTAGTGGACCGACACATGGTCCCAAAATCGCGTTTACGCCCTTTGCCCGGGCCTCAATAGCGTGCGCCTTTCCGCGGGCATACATCAACTGCCGATTCCACGTTGCGCCGACGGTGATTCCAGCAGGAAAAGCAGTGATGTTATCTGCATTCCTGATTCCCAGCGGTCCATCCTGCAGCTGTAAAGCGGGAAACCCAACGAGGACAGCAGGGGCGGTGGTGCCTACCGCCAAACCCATTTGCCAGCCTACGCCGGTGGTTATGTTCACCTTTTCGGCCAGCGTCATTTTAGATACCAAGGCAGAAGCCTTTTGATAGGACTCATACCAAGTGCCCGCGATCCCGCCCTTGGGGGAGGGGTACCATGGTGGTGAAAGTCCGTAGGGAGGTTCTTGGACTACGGCCTTGTAGCCTAGACCTCCGCCTACCAAAAGGATGACGAAGAGGATGAGGCCGAAGGAGATGCAGATGAGCCAACATCTGCTGCGGCGGGCTAGCCATGATTTGCGGGTGGACAAGGGTTGGAAGGAGGGGGTTCGGTTGGTGAGTGGTGGTGCACGTGTGCGGCGTTTTCGGGCTTGTTGTAGGATGCGATTCTGAATTCGGTTCCTGGTGTTGGTGTTGGTGTTGGTGTTGGTGTTGGTGTTGGTGTTGACGGGTGTACCTGTAACATTGCCGTTGGGGTCGGAGTCGGAGTCGGTGGAGGAGTAATCGGCATGATGCTCCGTGGACGTGGATCCCAGGAGCCCTTGTTTGCTGGCGGGGTCTTCGTGAGCCGCCATCTCCACTTGTGACTTGCGTGTGTCAATCAGCCCAGTTGGCGATGATCAGATATTCGATGTCATTGGTGTTTGACTGTTGAACTGTGTTAGTCCTGTCCGTACTGGCGGTATCAGATTGTATCGAGCACAGAGACGGAAGACGATAGTCGAAAAAACACCATACTCGGAGGTACTGGAACTGGATGACAACGGTGGCACAATGAGATTGTATTCTAACTTGATGATAAAAGAAGCCAAGAAAAGCAAAGTTAATTGAGTAATATAACGAGCATGAAAGGTGTAGAGCACGACGGCGCGCTACTAATGCAGACGCAAAAGCAGAATTCGGAGAATAATTGAATTGAGTTCGCGTGCGATGTGCGACGTGAAGCTGTGTGTGTTCAGCTGTGGTGTTTTGGTCGCCGTGAGCCGTCGGCCTGTTTTCACGCGAGAGAGTCGTTGTTTGGTTGGAGATGACGACGAAAAGTGGAAGAGGGGAGGATAGCCTGGCAGCAGACAGCAGAACCCGAAACCCTTTCGCAGGTGTCAGCATCCAGTCTTACAGCTGTCAGCCTCGCCTACTCACCGCTTTCTCCAATTGCATCTCGTCCCGAGTCCAGTCCCAGCACCTCGGCCAGCGCCAGCGGGCCAACCCCTGAAACAATGCCCATCTTCCCGCTGAAGCTGCCCCTGGTTCCAGATTGGCGGGGTTACCTGCACTAACAATTAACGGACGGCCCGCCCGGGGGATGTTCCTCGCCAACGTGGCACGACTCCGACTCGGAACTCTCTCCCCCTTCTTTCCAACACCGCTCCGACCTCACTGTCTTCCGTCTCCGGACTCGCCAAACAACAATAACCACCGGTCAATTGATGGCTCCGGACCGCATCTACAACACATCTAATACCTAATCACCTATTTCCAAACGCCTTGACGGCCACGCGACACCCCGCACAATCACCCAGTTGCTCCCCCTCCCCACAAGCCAACTGCTTCCCCTGAATACCGAAGTCCGAAGCCGCCCCTTTTTCCTCCGGGCGCCCTTCTCTTCCACAACAACCGCAACAAACCACGACACTAATCTTGTCACCACTGCCATAACAACCAAGCCACAACCCTCAACACCCTCAGAATCACTGCGAAAAAGCGCCAAAATGTCCCTCCAAACCCCCGAAATCCTCACCGCCTACGACTCCGTCCGCTCCGACAAGTCCCCCACCAACTGGCTTCTCCTCAGCAACTCCTCTCCCAGCACGCAAACCCTTTCCCTCAAAGCCACCGGCTCAGGCGGCATTCCGGAGCTTCTCTCGCACCTCTCCCCCAGCGAAGTATCCTACGCCTACGTGCGGATCCAATACGCCAACGACGCGGAGTCCGTCCGGGTAAAGTTCGCGCTGATCATCTGGATTGGCGAGCAGACGAAAGTGATGCGCAAGGCGCGGGTGTCGATTGAGTCAGGGGAGGTGAAGAAGGTGTTGGCGCATCATAGCGTTTCTGTGCAGGCTTCGGAGCTGAAGGAGATTGATGAGGAGGAGATTGTGAGGCTTTGTAGGAAGGCTGGGGGTGCTGATTATAATGGTGGGAGGGGTTAGAGCTGAGGGTTGTGTGATTTCTCTGGCTTCTCGGGTTTCGATGACTTCGATGACGCCGAGGGGCAGGTACACAAGGGAGGGGGTTCGGAGAGAATAAAGGCGATGAAGGGAGACCGCCACTGTTTGTGCGTTGACGAGCGTGGATAAAAGGAGGAGTTGGCTTCAGCGAAGACAGGACACACACGATAGACCGAGAGCAGCGGAGGAGGAGCGATTGGATAGATCTGATGGATATATCGCACGACGTGCCTCGAATGGAGAGCATCTGGATAGATCTGGACAACTGGGTTTACTGGGAGAATAGACGGAGGAGGTGCTGGTTCCCCTTCTTGCATCTACTGCTGCACATTGTTTTGATATTTGGTCTGGTCTGTACATACGCTACAGATACCCCATCAAGGCGTCCTTGTGTTCGGATTTTGGAAAATACGGAACGGAGGTGCAATCCATGGCTTCTGCTATTTCTGGTATTGTTGCTTGCTTTCTTGATTTTCTCTTCCGTTCACATTCACAATGGGTGGTTACACCTGTTAACGGCGGGTCGACAATGGTCCCTGACAATCACCGCCAACTTGCCGATCTTCAACAGAGGCCGTCTTCAACAGACAGTCCACCAAGCAATGGTCACACCAAGGTCAGTCTGTACCACTACCCACCCCATTCTCGCTAAACCATTCTTCTTATTGATGTACTGATCATTACTAGTAGGTAGTGTAGTAGGTGTAGGGTATTACTAGGATGGCCACAACGGGGCCTGGTATTTTAGGTGCCAGTCGGTCGCATCGATACGTGTGCCCGTTTCGTCGTCGTTACTCATCCTCATCCTCATCCCGTCCGAGTCCTTCCCGTCCGTCCGTTTTCCCGTGTCCATTTTCCGTCCTCCGTTAATTCCGTTGCGAATGGGAAAAAGGTATCCATCTAGGTTAAACACAAAACACAGCAAAAGCCAAAAGGTATACAAAAAATAGCCGACGGAAACAGGTACTTCTTAGTAACACACAACGAACAACAGCCACACAACCACAGAGAGAAAAAAACACCAATCACTCTTCTCCACGTCTTGTCTTTTCAATCGGTCATCACAACTCCCTTGGTACCTGAGCAGGCTGGTTATTGAGCGCGGCCGTCTCGCCATTAGCGCTGGGTCGCGTAGCGGTAGGACTGTGCTTCAATCCATCCTGATCGCGAGCACCCGCCTCGAGATCGGCCTGACCAAAGTCATCCGCACCCGGGTTGACGTCGTTGTACTTGAGGGCATGCAACAGCTTGTAGAACCCGCAAGCCAGGAGAGCACCGAGCGCGGGGCCCAGCCAGTAGATCCAGTGGTGTGTGGGAAAGTGGCGGTTGACAATGGCCGGGCCGATGGAACGGGCAGGGTTGAGACTGGCGCCGGTAAAGTAGACGCCTGTTTAGGGTCTGTCAGCATTTGATCCTGGCACGGAAGGTGAAGGGACAGAAACTTACCGACTAAGTGGGCCAGGAACAAAGCCAAGCCAATGGCTACCGGAGCCGATACCGTCGCGCTGTGCTTCTCAACCGCCATCATCAAGATGACAAAGACCAACTCGCATGTCAAGAACAGCTCAATGAAGAAGCCCTGAACAGCAGTCGCTCCGCCGCCCAGGGTGGTCTCGACAGCCAAGGGGCCGGGGAACATCACTTGAACCAACCCGGCAGCCGCAGTGGCGCCCAGGATCTGAGCAACAATGACAATGGCAGCACGAGCGATGGGGAAACCGCCGACCATGACAAGTGCTAGCGTGACCTATTACTCTGTTAGCATCATAATACTCCTCGAGTGTCATAGCAGGGAAGACCTACAGCAGGATTGAAAGCACCACCAGTAACACGGAAGAACGCCCAGACGTTGACCATCAAACTGAATCCAAACGCCAGCGAGATGTACAGCAAGTTGCTCGTCGAGGGTAGTCCTCCAGCATTGGCCGGAGCCGTGTTGGCCACCTGCGTCGCAGCAAAGGCAAAGAACAAGAACAGGAAAGTTCCCACAAACTCGCCTATCCCAAACACGAGGTTCGTGCGCATGGGGTGCGACATGTTGGCAAAGGGGGCCATGACGCCTCTCGACTGTCTTCCAACAGCGGTTGACGTGTTAGACGAGTGCGAGTGGGAATGGGAAAGGGTATACTGCTTGGTGGGGCTTAGTGGTGCTGGAAAAGGGGTAATCGAGACTGAGACAGGGTGGCTTGGGCCGCCCGCTAGGCCAGCTTTCTCTTTCTCTGACGAAGGTGAGGGGAAGGGTGACGATGATGGGCTCGATTCCAGGAGAGTCGGTGAAGGCACCGGCGAAGACGGCAGGAATGTGGGCTTCTGCGAGGGAGGTGGTGGTGGGTTGGAAGAGGCAAGGGGCGTTTTATTTATCTCAACCACGGAGACAGTGGTCGACGAGACGGGAGCGTGGGCACCCATAGTGTCTGCGTTTTTCGTCCGTTCAGGCTCTGTTCTTTGTGTTCCTCGAACCTGGGTGCTGTTCGATCAACAGAGTGTAGTGTCTGTCTGTGTGCCGGGCTAAGCAACGGTAGGGACGACAGATGCAGTGGTTCCAACGGCTTTACCAGGATGTCGAGGTTGAACAAAAGCTGTTGTTACCCTTGAACCTTTCCTTGTCCTTCGGCCGCGATCCCTGCTGTTTTCTGCCGGACTGCTTGTCTTCTCTGTTGTCCTACGCACTAAGCAATGGGACGAGGACAGACTGCTGCTGTGAAACAGATACACAAGAGTTCTCGTCTTCTCAGGACTCAAGTCGGTAGTAGTAGGTGCCCAATATTGCTCACACCACGGGAGTCGCGAGAGTTGCTTTGGTGTGATTAATGACGCGGAAAACGGAAGGGCAAGAGGCAAGTCGTAACGCTACAATGGTTCGGTTTCCAGGCGGTAAGGAAGGTTTGGTGATTCGGTCTGTCGTCGGGATGAACCGTGGAGCACTTGGAGTAACTGTGTTCGGACCAGTTTGGATCGCAGATGGGGATTCAAGGGGGATTCAAAGCTGCCCAAGGTGCCAGGTGTGCCCTTGGTGTGTCTTTGTGTTCCCGTGGTCTTGAACCTGATGAGGTAGTTGGAGGTGAAGATGGTCGAGGATGATACCTGGTTGATTCTGCTAACAATAGTTGGACTAAGGGATCTTGAGTGAGAAAAGAATAATTATGTAATTATGATTATCTTTCTTTGGGAAGAAGAAGAGGCTCTGTCCAGGGGCCAAGTTGCGGGGGAGTCGGAGAGACCGGTGACTTGGTTGGTCGGGATGTCCGTTGTTGGTGTTGGACCGGGGGAGTACAGTAGTCTGGGGAAGACAGACTGGGTGTGGAGGAGCAAGCAAGTAAAGATGATTGATGTCGATGATGATGAGGAGGAGGAGGAGAAAGACCAGGACTTGGAGAGGAATTGGAGAGAGATGGCAATGCTTTCATATGCGTCTGCCGGAATAAGGAAGGCATGATGTAGTCATTTCATTGTGAGTGAGCAAGCATTCGGTTGGCATCCACATAGTCAAGTGGCTTCATGGCGTGGTCTGGTTAGTAGTCCAAGTGGTATGGTAGTGTTGGCGTTGGTTCCTTCCGGCGCCATCGTGCATGCGAGCGAGCATGAAAAAGCCAGGAAGGAGCTGATATCAAAACCACCGACTGCGACTACCGCCTTTCCGAGTCGAGTCGTCGTTGGTCTGCTTGGCCCGTCGGAGATGACCTGCCCAACTTGCACGTACAAACCAAACTTTCCCGCGATACTACGGTTCGGAGCTTACCTTTTGCTAGAAGAGAAGGAGGGTAGCAATATCCGGCAATGCCCGAGCGTTCTCCAAGTTCTCAAGTTCAGTTCTCAACATCCTGGATCGAATCCCACAAATCGAACTGGTGGCTTCAAGCCCCTCATGTCCTGGTCCGTGGATCTGAGGCAAGGATCTAGCTTTCAATGTTGATGTACTTGTAAGTGGGAGGTACGTCCTTATTTCTTCCATGATGTATCATCGTCATCTGAGATTTTGCGGTCAGTCTTCGTCTTTCATCAAAAGTCTTTGCCATGTCTCTGCCACTCTGCCACTTGGAGCCCGAAGGTGCCGATGGAATGGAAGCGAAGATGATTTGAGTGAAGTTCACGATATCTAGACCGCTTTTGTGTTCCATGCTGGCATTGCTACCGGGTGGTTGTCCCTCCCCATCTCCTTTACCATGCGTTGATAGCTCATCTCCCCAGCTGTAGCCCCGGCCGGTCTGTTAACAACCCCCGGTCTTAAAGGTACCCCGGTCTGTTAGTGAGTTGGTGAATTGGCCCCTGTACTGTTCTGGATGCTCTCAGATTCGGTATCCCTGTTGCTGCCATGCTATTCTGAATGCGGCAGCCTTTACACATTGTCTTTCTTTTTTTTTCTTATTAATTAAAGTGAATCTCTTTGTTTGTTTCATCTCTTCAATGGTTGCTTGCACCAACGTCGACACAGTTCACGATGTTGGTTATCGTGGTGACTGCTGAGGTCTGGTCGACACTAACACAGCGCACTGACACCCATTCTACCATTCAGCTACTCCACCCAATCAGCTCATGTATCGCGACTTCTTTTCATCGTATGATATCCTCGTCTCACAAGAGAGCTGCAAAGAGGAGAAATGGGACAATGTAGAGCTCAAAAATCAAGTTGTCAAAAGGGCATGGGACAGATCAGTCGAATAATCGCGCTTTTCTTGCTTGACTTGATCATACGCGTTTTCTTGCAAGTGACTCGAAGGGTGGAAAGTTAAAGTCGTGAACCGATAAGCTCGGGACATCCGAGACATGCGAATGGTCGACGAGCCTCACGAGCTCGGGATGAGGTCCGACAAGATTGACGGTACAGACGGTGGTCATAAGGTCAGTCTCGTCCCCTCCTCCTCCTCCTCCTCCTCCTCCTCCGTGCCCTCGTATGCGGGCTTTTTTTATTGTACAAGTATAAACGTCGTATAAGTCCGTTGACTAGATTCGCTGGAAAGGGGCAGAGGAGAAAGATGTCGATCCGGGTCATTGTCCGGATGAGCAGATGAGCCATGAATGCGGTTCAGCTATTGGATATTCCATTCGGTGAGTGCCTGTCGAAAGAAGAAAAATGGAAGAAGAAAAGGCAGGGGTCGGGGAGGAAATGAAAGGGAGGATGGGACAACCTAAAAGCAATGCCTGCAATACTGGACAAAGTGCTAGCACTAACATGCACTAACGCTTGCACTGGCACCAACACTTCTAGGCAGCTCAACCGACGGGATCTGTGGTCAGAAAGCCGACGGATAGGATGGAAGCACCGAGGTCCAGTATCATATGGAAACGGGATGCGGCTACCCGTAAAGCAAGCCCAGCAGACGCATACATGGTAGATCAATGGCGCTTCCGACCGATTTGTTTCTTGCGCCGTTCAGTTCCTGTTGCGGTCCTCGCGATCACAATCTTGTTGTGGGAGTTCTGTTTGTGGATTGATGTCTCTGATATCCCATACAATAACCGCGACCACTGATAACTGTTAGTGCAAAATCCACACGGCTCCGCCTGCAAGAGCGGGTGTTGGCCGCTGTGGGTTTTGGAGAATTGCATTTCCAGCGGTTTGGCCACCCCCCCCCCTTCTTAGGTGCCCTTGCCCTTGTCCCGTCCTCAAAGGCTCCTTCATCTCCACCACGGCCACGAAGGGCATGACCGTTGACGATGTAGGCATTTGTACTGTTGTTGTTGTTGTTGTTGTTGTTATTGTGGTGTAAACAACACCTCGTTGTGCGGCAGCTCCTCCGGGCAGCATGCTACGTGAACCGAGCTGATAAGCTCGTTCATGAGATTCGCGCATTCGGTCCTTGGCGGTGGACTGCCACGAACCAACGAAAAAAGCATCACGAGATCAAGTCACTGGATGCACTCACTGGTGTCGTTGAGAAGAGCGGTGCGGGCTTGTCGTCTAGCAGCCCCAGGGCCATGTTTGGTACCTGTCTCTAGTGTAGGTAGGTAAAGGTATGAGATGTACACCCTGTCTCGTCTATCTTCCCAGCCGTCGCCAAATTTGCTCCAGGCTTCCCAGGGCATCATGAAAATTTCCGAAATTTGTCTTGTCTTTCTCGTCAGTCGGTCTGATCAGCTGGAAGCCTGGGGACATAAGCTCCGTCTCTCGTTGCTTTTCCCGAACGAAAACATCGTGGACCGAAGACGAGAACCGACGAGGAGTCGAGGACAACAAGGTCTTGAACGATGGACGCACAGACACCCGACCCGTTCTTGTGCCCACCGCCGGATTCTCGTCCTTCGTTCTTTGGTACTCACGATGCATCAAGTACAGAAGAGGTATCGTCCACCTCCAGTCCGCTCTCCGCCTCCGCCTCCGCCTCCCTGCTGTGCTGTTGGTCTGACCAGAAAGGGATCAAAAAGGAATGTCAATGGCGTCAAATGTCTCGAGATAAATAGGTCTCTCTCTCTCTCTCTCTCTCTCTCGATTCTGGAAAAGGAAGACTTTTGAGACTCGACAGCCACAAGATGATGGTGATGATGGTGATGTTTCAGTTCATGTTCTGCCTACCGTACTGCTAACCGCTTTGTGAACTTTTGTGAACACTCATTAAGCAATGCGACGGTTAGAGGTTAGATCATTATGCTGTCATATGGAGGTACGATACCGCAACCCCTTGTCTAGCCCGTCTCGCTGTCTAGCCTGGTCTGGTCCTCTCTGCGTGGTCCTGTCCTGTCTGGTCCAGGCTTATCCCTTCACCGGAAAGGAGGCCGGTTTGGTTGTGTGTATCACACCTAGGTAGGTTTGCCTTCTTTCTTCCATTTAAGATTAGGCATAACAAAGCTCTAGTGCAGTATTGTATAACACACCCTCGGCTTTTATGCCCTACATAGCGTTCAGTGAATGGTTAATGGTAAGCCGCCGGAGATTGGCGTCAGCCAGTAGGAATGGTGTGCCCCGGAACCTCCGACGATCGCATTGTAGTTACATAGATGGGTAAGGTACGGGTATATTAACCTGTCGGCGGGCATGGTAACAGAGCAAAGAGCGCAATCTGATGGCTTGCAGCGCATTAGTTTTGGCTTATGTTGGGTATCCCGAACAATAACTTCTACTTGTTGGTGGCGTTACCGTCAAGTATGCATGGGCAAGGAGGGACGACATTGTACAATGAGACAAAACTGCAGTAGGTAAAGTGCTGCTTTTGGTGCGGGATGCATTTGGATCAGTTTCGAGCTGAGGTGATTCAGGTCTGGCGACACAAGACATTGCGGGTGTTGCGGTGATTTCTTGATATTGCTCCTTTTCTTTTTGCTTCCATGGCAGGTATCGTGAGTCGCATGTCTTTGGTGTTGAGAGAAAGGGGAGAAGGAATGGGGGAAAGGACGGCGGTTGGTGCAATTGGTTGCCGTACTTATAGCAGCAATAACAGTGGGCAGTGCTGGACGATGCGGTTTACACCTCTTTCTTGCTCGGTCTGTTAGTGCAGGTTCTTCCGCCTTCATCTCATTCCACGGCAGCAACTCTGACTTTGGGTAAGTGAAAATATTGTATGAGAATCAGGGCCAGAAACGACAAAAAGGATCTGGTCGTGAAAACCGTTGTAGATCAGGGTAAGGGGAGAAAGAAGCGACGAGGGTCATATCAATTGGAAAAGGAAGATGATCACTTCCACTCGTGGCCCACCGTTGGTCAACACCTGAGCCACAGTGTATCTGCCCTTGAACAGAAAAGGTGGGTACAATTGATTGAGCATTGGCGAATGAAGCGACCAATTGGTTGACCCAGCCACAATGGCTCGTCTGTTAAGCCACACCCTACAGACTTGGGTCAACGCTTTGTCAATGAGATGAAGCACCCCAATGCCTGATTCATCTTTTCTTCATCCTTGATCACCATTGACGATACCCGCACAAAACAAAACCCCACCATGACATCGCCAACAATGGCCACGATGCCAGGCGGTTCGACGAATAAACAAAACATACGTATTCTGGTCAGGGTACACGCATCCCGCTCTGTTTTTCTACCGTGTAAAGAATGACCACCATGAAGAGGAATAGGTAAACTCAAACACTGTGGCTTATGCAGTCAATCATCAACTTTCTTAGCGCATACAAAAGGTCGGCTTCAAGCTGGAGCATCAAGCACCGTGATCCCCTCAATTCTCAAAGATGCCACCCGCCATATCAACTACGCCCGTCAACATCATGGCCTCATATATCATCACTTTGGCCGACCCCAAGAACTTGGAATCCCTCCCCTCGCCTTTCCGACTTGGCCCCTTGGATCACGTTGTCCATCCATCTGTCCTGATAGATCTGGTCTACGTCTATGAGAAAACGTCAACAGCAAAGACTTTATCCCCGTTTCTCGCCTGCGTGAAGCCATCAGCAATCTACTCAACTTCTACCCTCAGCTGACCGGCCGCCTCGCTGTCGACAATTCCAATGGTGTCCGGAGTATCACTAAGTTGGGCATGGGCGGCCCTTGTTCGAAGCATCTTGCGACTAGCCATTATTGGCCTTTCGTGAATAGCTACCCTCACATTTGACCGAATCTCCCATCGACATCTCTATGGATCACTTGCCAGGGACGGGCGCTGCTCTCATCGCCCCTTGGGATCCGTCTTTTGACAACGAAACCGGCATCCAGCGTGGTCCTCCCCTGCTGTTCCACCGAACCCAGTTCAGCTGTGGCTCTGTCGCCATCGGATATCGCATCTCCCACGCCGTCTGCGGCGCAGACGGCTGCCTCCATCTTTATCAAGACCTGTGCGAGATCTACCATAAACTTTCCCGTGGTGATATTGGGGTTCTTGATGTCCCACCGCACATCATTCCCATGGGCCCCGATCGGATCATCAATTGTGATGATCAGAAACGAGCCACTCTAGACCCGCCAGTCCTCTATCTCCCCCTCCTCCCAAACCAGGCGAAGGACCAGCGAAGAGCACAGTCGCTTCAGACACTTCCCAAGAGCAGGAACCTCCCATCCCTATTACTGGCAGTTACATGCATTACACCCCTGTCGACCTTACCCAACCCAAAGCCGACGCTACATGCCCTGACGACAGCCTTTCCTGGGTGTCTACCTTTGAAGCCCTTCTGGCCAGCATCTGGCAGGCCACATACCGAGCCAACGCCCGCTTCGCCGCCTCCAAAGCCCGCGGTGTACCCTGTGGTGATCCGCTGCCTAGATCCCAACGCCCGACACCCAGTCTTCGGACCAGCATCAATGTTGCCCTTCCCTCCCGCCTCGACCTCGCTGGACACAATAAGGGGATGGGAAAAAGTCATTACTTCCCCAACGCCGTCGTCCCTGTCTTCTTCACCGTGCCGGATGAGAGTGACGACCCAGATGGGCTTGACATGTGGGACGCACCGCTTTGGAAGTTGGCAAGATTCATACACCGGAGAATGCGTGAGCGTGATGTCGCGCACGCACTCGAGGTCATCAACGGGATGTGCGAGTTGCCGGATAAACGCCTTGCCAACGTCGACTTCACCCTGTTTGCGGGGTCCTTTGTGATTTCGGATTGGCGCCAGTATGACATCTATGGAGAGCGGACAGCGCTGGACGATGTTGAAGCTAGACTGGCTGGCCCGCCTTTTACAGAGGTTTGGGCGGTGGATGGCTTTGCGACTTTTTTAAGGCCAGGGAAAAGGGGGCGTTGGAGGACTATATGAATGGAGGTATTGATGTCAGGTATACGGTGAATGAGGCGGCTCAGAGAGTGATGGGTGGGTGGTTGGAGGGTGTTGGACCATAGGATGGTATTGAAGGTTGATGTCGGTAGGAGAAGCATTCCAGCATTCGGCTGAGTCGTCTCCTCCACGAGCGAAGCCGGCAATGAAGATGCAGAACAGAGCCGAAAATCTTCCTTCCTCATCAACGGCGCTTATATGCACTGTTCCCGCGACGAACGTCCCGATCCCCTGTGTCGCCACATCCCCCGACTCAAGGCATGTGGATGTGGAAGTAGCAGTGAAGGTTGAGAATGAGGTATCCGCGTTCGAAGCCTTTTTGTGCAACAGCGAATCAAAGCGTCTACCAATTGCACGATAACCTGAAGCCACAGTGCCTCGGCCTTTCAGCCACAAATTCTGTTCGATTGGGTCAACACTTCTGGAAATGAACCACTGGCCAATGTTGATACATCTTTCCACTCTCTTCCCCGATCACTACTACCGGGAAACATCCGACGCTCCGCAACGCAAACCAGGGGAACAAGCGCACGCCAATGACATATATATTTCCGTCAACCTCATTCGTCCAACCTATCTCATGTCTCTTCCATCTCCACCTCAATGTCATCTTTTAAATCTGACCAAGCTCGTAAACATGACACGGACAACATCCTCCTTTGGCAATGCCCCGGCGGCAGCCCCAACAACAACCCGGTCAACACCATGGCCAGACATGAAATCTGATGCTGGCTTATTGGCTAGCTCGGCGCTCCTAGCCTATGACTCTTATGATATCTCTGAGAGGGCTGGGGAGGATTGATGTCAGGTTGACATTAGATGCGCAGACGAGGAAGTTTTAGGAGCCTTGGTTGGAGTTAGGTCGGTCGTAAATCACAATGGAGAAGGATCGCGAGCGTGGAAGTGCCGGCTGGCTGTGATCGCTCGATTGGGAAATGCGGTATACCGTATCCAACCCAATTTAGCCACGCTTCTAGAAGACTTGCATGCATTGCAACCCAAGCGTAATATCCGCTTTAAGCAATATCGAAGGGATTTGAAAGGGGATTCGGCTTTTGGAAAGATGAGAAGAGAGACGTAAGCGTTGGTTCATGGGGTTGGTTGCAACACAATACAACCATCAGAAGCTGTATCCGGTGAGGTTTTCGTGATCATGACCAATTCCGGCAAGCAAAGGTCGAACGTCTCAAATGCATTGGGTCTACCAGGCGAAGTACATCGTTAAACAGCTTCTTTGTTTTCAACTTTCAGCAATCTCTTTCCAACCACTGTCAACGTCCCCAACCTCGCCGTCTAAAACAAGCAATCAACGCAACCCACTTTGCTTTGTTCCCAACCTCACAAAGATATCAACACTCCTTTCCTTCTTCCACGAAACACACTCAAACGTTTCAGTGGCTGATGCAAAGTTAACACCCAACGACGGACCTTATAGTCATATCAACCAAGAACCCCAACCAACTCACAAACACTCATCTTCGCCCTCAGCCTCACCAACTGCCTTTCACTCCATGTTTCCGGCCAACAACCAACAACCACAACAACAACCGCCAACCCAAATCACCAAACAACCGCCAACCCAAATCACCAGAACATAATAACATCAACCGAGGATCATGCGGAAAGGTCTCACTGCGGATCACAATACCCAAACTCAGTCTGACAACCCACAATATACGGACAAAACTGATCCCCCTCTCCACACCATCCAAACTGGCTACAGCATCGGCCGTACGTACTTCCCAAACAATTCTGTCCGTTTCCACACCGTCCGTCTCTACTCGACACTTGACCAGGCGGTAGCGTGAAGGTTGGTCTTGCAGACGTGGTCGTTGAGGTCCGGGTACTGGTTGTTGACGTAGTACTGGTCGTCGTGATCCTGATGCTGCTGGTGGTAGAAGAGGTGGTGCTGGTAGAAGAGGAGGTAGTAGTAGAGGTGGTGCCAGGTGGAGGAGGAGAATCATCGCATAACCCAAAAGCGGACTGGCAGCCTGCACCGCAGTATTCGGGTCCGGAACCGCACCAGAAGAATTGAGAGCAGCAGGGACCCCAGCCTGCATCGGCTATGCCGGGGCAGATTGTTGAGTTACCGCATTGCCCGTTTGTGGTGATTATTCCTGTTGGGAGGGGGATGTAGCTGCTGGTGCTGCTGGTGCTCCTTGTTGAGGTGGTGGTGGTGGTGCTGGTGGTGGTTGGCCGGGTAGAAGTTGTGGACGTGCTGGTAGAAGTTGGACGGGTGGAAGTTGAGGTAGTGGAAGTGGTTGCTACGGGCCGAGGCCATCCGCAAACTCCATAAGCTGGTTGGCAGTCGAAACCGGGATAGCAATGGTCTACACTGTCGCCGCAGTAGCCGTAGTCGGAACAGCAGAGGTTATCGCCGCAGCGGCCGTAGTTGGCTCCGCAGCGGCCGGTTGTCTGACGGGTGTTGAGAAACTGGTGGGATGCGTCGAGACTTAAAGCTCGTAGTTCGGAGATTGAAGTGCCGTTTGAGTGTTGACGGCGGGCGAGAGCGCGGAGAAGGTGGCGGTCTGGGAGGGTGAAATCGCGATCATTGAGGACGAAGTGAGATTTGGCAAGAGCTGTTGAACAGCTCAATGCTGTGAGCGTGAAGAGGCTGAGGAACTTCATCTTGATCCTGGTCCTGCTTTTTCGGCAGTGTCTTTTCTGGTTCGACCCTGGAGAACTGAGCTTCACAGCAGGATGAATGAAACAAGTCGGCGAGGACAAGGTGAGAAGGGCATATGAGCGGTTTTGAAGCTCCCTCGGGGCTTTCTTTTCCGCAGCAGCTCATGCTCATCCGTCACCAACTTTCCCTTCTCGGCTCAAGGACCTCGATACCAAACTTTTGGCTGACGTGGACAGACGACATGACATATGACGCCGAGCAAATCTCCAACAGCCAGAAATGAGAATACTACTGCTCGGTTGTACTTTCCGGGATATGACCATTTGGAAGTTGTTGACTGTAAGTTGTGAGAGGATCCAATAAAGAGGCTAAATTGGCCGGCTGCCGGGTTTACCGAGTTTTGTGACTTTTATGTTGCTGCAGGAACGGCGGATCTTATCCCGTGTCACCATCCACCATCTTCCGAAAACCACGTTGTTTGTTATACCGTCTTGGCGGGAACTGGCGAGAGTTTGGGCTGCTGGGGCTGTTGATTCTAGGGTATCTCGGCACTTGATGCTCATTTGGGCCATTTGAAGAAGGAAAAGTTGGACTGATGTCTGTCTGGCCTTGAAAGTTTACTTCCTTGAAGACAGCATGACGGAAGTAGATGAAGTTGCAAGGGCAGGAAAAGATCAAAAAATGGAACCTGAACAAACCTTGATCAACAGCGTCCCAACAACGGAAAGGAAGGAAACATTTCCCGTTTCCAGAATACGCCAAGGTGCACTGAACCAAGAACCAAATACCAAAGCATCGCAGAACAAGAAACACATGCCACGCCACAAACAACCACACGGGTGAATCCTCGGACAATGGATAAAAGAGGCTCAATAGCCCCTGTCCCATCACCAACATGCCATCACGCCCAACTTACCCGGTCACATCTCCTGTCACATGTTCTCGGCCTCCATCATCGAGACCTTGACATCGGGGATCTTCACCTCCGAATCTTCCTTGGCCTCAGCTGAACCGGAGACCGCAGCGGCTACCTCATCCTCTTCCCTCTCTTCTTTTCTTACCGCCTCCTCTTCAAGTTCCCTCCTCACCGCCCTCTCCGCCTCCTCAAAAGCATCATAACAAAACAACACCTCCCTAAACTCCTTGGTCCACGGCAACGCATCCTTACCCGGTAACCGCCCTTTATAAAACCGCCTCACCTCCTCCTCCACTCCTTTGACATTCAGCCACTTCGGTCCAGCATTCGACGCCAACATTGTCAAGTTACACCTTGGGACACGAAGCTGATCGAAGAGGTTCAGGCGGCGCTGGACGAATTTTGCGAGTTGTGAATGGTCAGATGCACATGAGGAGGGGGAAGTAGAAGTAGAGGGAGAGGCAGAGGGAAACTCGCGAAACAAGACCTCCATCATGGCCGCAGATTCAATAGCGATGGCACCCGCCGCGGCGTGCGTGGGGAGCATGACGTGCGCTGCGTCGCCTATTACTACTGCGCGGCCGCGGATGAAGGAGCGAAGCGGAGGGCGCGTGAAGAGGTGGTGAAGGATGATGCCTTTTTCAACCGTTCCCGTTCCTTTTTCCTTGGAAGTATCACCTCCCACTTCAAGGTCCTGCTCATCGGTGTCGGTGTCGGTGTTGGCATAGGCCATCTCAACCAAACTCCGTACACTCTCATGGAACCCGCTCACGAGCTTCAACACGTCCTCCTTCTTTACGGGAGTCGACCAACCATTCGCATTACCACTACCACCAGGTGCCCCATCCGCCTCACCCAGCTCCTTATGCCTCTGCGTATTATGCACAATAGCATTGTTGATCACACGCCCGCCACGACAGGGGTAAGATACCCAGAGAACATCCTTAATAGGATCGTGCCATGACAAAAACGCCGGGAAGGGGACCGCCTGGGTGTATGGAAGGAAGTGTGGACGGAAGTGAGGGTTTGTAAGGAGGGGAGATTGGGGAGAGAGGGGGAGGAGGAAGCGGTATATGGAGCGGCCTGTTGGACGGACTTGGGCTAAGGGCTGGGGGTTGGTGTTGGGTTGAGGGGCCTGTGGTTCCTGTGGATCGGAGTTCTGTAGTTTGGGGTCGAGCAGCCCCAGGGAGGGGGGGAGAATGAAGGGGAGTAGTCTGGACTTGTTGGAGAACAAGTGTTAGCGGCGCGTGATCTAATCTGATCCGATCCAATGTGCGTTTGAGGGAAGGACGAAGGGTTGAACGGGTGCGTTGCTGGCTGGACCGTGCGGTGGCAAATTTCAATTTTCATCGGGGAAGGGGGAAAGGGGGTGAGAACAACGTACGTGAGCACCATCTGCAACAACAACCAAATCCCATCCTTCCAGCTTTGTTCCGTCTTTGAACTCAATCACTCCCTTTTCGCAATCCAACCCCACGACCTCTCTGCCCAGTTCAATGTCTACCGGACCTCCATCTAGCACTTTTCCACTTTCCCCGTTCCTCTCTATGCCGTTATCCATCATGTCTCCATGTACATGTATCCCATCCTTCATCACCAACTCCCTCAACTCCAAATGTAAACCAGCCCTGTGAACACCCCAACACCCGCCCCCTTTCCCCGTTGTCCCAAGACCCATGGGGCCTTGACCAACATGAAACCCAAACCCTTTATACTCCTCCCTCAGCACAACCTCCAACGTGTCCGCCCTCGCCAACCGACTGCTCCAGTTCGCCACCGCTTCGGTTTTCTCAAAGTCGAATCCCCATCTTGACAAGCAGAGAGACGCGTTGGGAGGTAGAGTGATGGCTGCGCCGGTCTCGTTGGAGAAGAGGGATCGCTCGAAGATGGTGCATGACCAGCCGGCTCGACGGAGGGCGAGGGAGGCGGAGAGGCCGGAGATGCCGGCGCCGAGGATTGCGGCGCGGGGAGGTTGGTGGGAGGATATGGTTGGTTTCGAGTTCGGGAGTGTCGAGATGGGTCGGATGAGGAGGAGAAGGAGGAGGCAGGTGGACTGGAGAAGGTCGCGGAGGGAGAGGTGGTCCGGGGACTGGTCGGGGATTCGGAGGATGTCGTGGAGGAAGCGCTGGAGGAAGCAGTGTTGCGTTGGGCCACGGAGGGGGATAAATTGCCTAGGTGTTGGCCGGGTGATGTTGTTGCGGAGGAGGTCTTGGAGGAGGACATGCTGATGATGGACTTGTTGGACGTGATGACGGGGCGTTGATGATGACGATGACCTCAACGGTCAACTGGCGAACTTGGGGAGTTGTGAAAATGCATCATGGTGTTGTCCAACGCCTCCGCGTCAGTCAGCCATCAATGCCTGTACGCTGTACGACCTTTCATGCCAGCGCCGTCGCACAGCAGCAGCGACATGTCTGTCTGAGAGCGGCAGCAACATCCCACCCATTTCCGTTGCATGACAGAAGCGTGGCCATCCGTTCGTCAGCGATGCATACGGCTGAAGCCCGGGCGGTTGTCCATCATGCGTGCAGGATTTACCTAAGGGAGCTCCCCGGCAGCTACGTATTTCTTGTAGCGTTTTCCCCACTGTTTTGTCTGTCGACAACTTGGAATCTCGATGACATTCCGCTCTGGGGTTTCACCTACAAGGAAAATCGTTTCCCTGAAACCTGCCTTCATCTTCCGAAACGCGGAACAAGCAAAAGAAGAGAAAATCTGGAATTTGAACGACAAATGCCACCGAGAACCAAAATACGGCATCAATCAAGCATCTCGATGCGCGCCCATGGACCATGGACGACCGTGGTTGTACCTATTTCCCTCAACAATTTACTACAGAAAGGTACAGGGGTGGGGGCTGATTTTCCTGCCAAGATTCGACCTGAGAGAACGAGCAAAAAAGTCGATCAGGAAATATCCTAATCATGTGATGAGGGCATTCACAGATGCAAGTAAACACACCGGAAATAGGGGGTGCATCCCACCAAAACAATGACAAATCACAACTCTGACCATCAAGAACCCCCCAAAATCGACATTTTCAGCCTAGGGCTTGTGCCATGGCAACGGGAGTCCACACAATGCAAATCGTTTCTTCCCAAGATGTGTCCGAGATGGACTCACGGGGACACGCCCAAACGGGCGTTGATGGGGTCCAAGCTGTTGCCCGCTCCGACAGACGGAACGGACAGCTTGGCTACCTTGACAAAATGTCTGAAAGGTACAGTAACACACATGATAATCCATATCTCCGGGTCCGGGATATTGTCGGGCCCAATCCTTTTGCAGACCTCCGTCGTCATGCCACGGATGGCTTGGATGAAACGTCGATGCCACGTTCAAAATCCGATCTCGTCGACCTTGACTAAGACTCCGCAGTAGCCGCTGACCCAGGACCACCCCCGCTTGTTGGTTCACCCAGTCTCGCCCAGTCAAGTGGACGGCAGTTTGTGGGAACTGGGAAAAAAAAGAAGGACAGGGAGATGCCCATTTGTTGGAAAGTGTTCAAAACGATCTAGACTTGTCTGGTTGGTTGTTCCGGAATCCGGACCAAGATCCATATATTTCAGCCCAGATACGATATCGATGACTGACAGACGAGAATAAGGAATCCGGTGGTCATGTATCCCAACTGGCATTCAAGCTAGCTCCGTGCTGACCACCGCAAGCGCAAGGTACATAAACAAATGTACACAAAACAACGGCTCTTGTATGGTCTCAAAGGCTCTCACGCAGGGTACGGGGAGTTGGCGGCGGGGGGTCGGACAGGCCTCCGGTCCCTGTTAGTGGACATAACCAGGATTCTATGACTCGTCGTGTCTGAGCTGATAGGCTCCCTAACAGACAGGCTGGAGCTGGCGAGCTTGGAGAGGTGTGATTGGACAGAATCAGGTTTCTCGGTCTTTTGGCGTCCTGGCGTCTACCACAAAAAAAGGGGGCGAAGCACCCAGGAACCACAGCAAGAAGTGGAAGCCAACCGTTGGGGTCGTATCACCACCCAAGCATTTGCGTGTGCTCCAACCGCTTCACATTCACCAGGTCAACAACCCCCCCGGCCTCCATAAACAAATATCCGACTAGCACTACACTAGGAGGAGGATTATCTGGAGCGCCTAACGGGTATACACTACCTACCACCAGCTTTCTCTGTTCTCCGCGCGTCTAGGCCAGGCCTTTGCCCGTCGCAAGTCTCGTTTCTACTAGGGAATAGAAAGACTGCGTACGTAGGTACCTAGGCCAGCCAAATCGAGGTAAGTGTTGGCAGGATGGATGTTAAAAACCTCCATCAAAACTCGCCCCCCGAATGGACACAAAGTGGACGTTTCGAACGGTACTCAATCAAGACTCCTCCTCCGCCCGCCGGCCATGCCCCCGTTCTCATGGGGATGGGGGGGCCTCCCATTGGAACATCGTCACATCCGTCATCGCGATCTCTGATCTCTCTCTGGCAATCATACACTCCAGACCGTGTGACTCCCCTGCCAGCCAGACAGACAGACAGACACACCGAAACAACAAGAGACAGCTCGCTGATCATCCGTCTTCCGTCCAGTGATTCATACACACGCTTGCACCCTAAAAAGTGTAGCAATTCGGTGGGGCAGTTAAGGAACCTGTTGAGTTGCGTTGCTTCGTTGGCCCCTACTCTCGTTGCTGCGGGAACACTGGGCTGTATTTTGGCCGAAAACGAGAACGACAGCAACCTCTACCAGCAGCCGGGCTTGGTTCCTCGTCAAGTGTTTCGTCCTGGTCGCAGAGAAGTGATCCAGTCCAGTCCCAGTTGAGCAAGCAGTTGTGTGGTGGTCCCGTACCTACCTATCGTCGTGCCCCCCTTCTCGACCAGGCAGGGGAAAGCATCATCCGTGTCTGAAACTGGTGTGCCAGTGCGTGGGTGGGTGTATTGAGGTCTGGTGCTTCAGTTTCCAGCCCTCACGGAAGACGGAGACGCTTGTTGGCAGCTGGGAGGATAGAGCTTGTGGGAGCTTTCCACTCTGCTGGCCAGCTGTTTATGCTGCTACCAGACTACTGCCTGCCTAGAGGTACTACTTGTTGCTGTTGTTAGCTCTTCCTCCAGCTTGCTTTCGGATCCACAAAGAGGAAGCATCGGGTATTCGGGCTTGGGGACCAGGGCATTTGCAGCTAGACAAGTGCTGAAAGCTGGAAAGAGAGAGCTTTCTGCTTTTCGTGCTTTCTCCTCACTAATTCCAGTCCACGGAAGACGGCAAAAAAGAGGGGAAGGGAGGAAGGACTCCTGTCTTTCAACACAACGTGGATCTATACTATCCTACCACATACCGACTTCCTACCTATCGTGCCCTTTCGATGCGGTTACGGACCCAGGCAGACCTTTGTCCCTCTCACCGTTGTCCAACCCTTCCCCTGGATAATAATCCAGCAGCGCCAGCCCAAGCACGAGCACTATTTTGTCTAGCTCAGCAGCATCCCCCACCACCGCCCAATCTTCTTCTCCGAGTTTCGAACCGGCGGCACATCACCGATGCAAAGCTTTCGCGAGATTCGACCAGCTTCCATCCCAACCCACGCTGGTGGCCAAAATGTTGAGGGGGCAGCAACACAGCTGGCAGCACAACAACATCAACCAGCACTGCAACCACGAGACGGGCACGCTGAGCAGCATCAGCCTCATCACCCTCACATTCTCCCCCACGGTGCTGTGGCTTCCCCAGGCTTTGTTGCTGCCGGAAATACAGGCCACCAGCTCCCAATACCGCCGGCGGCGGCCATCCAACAACTACAAGGCCCACAGCGAATAGAAAGCATTGTGCTTCCGAGGAGAAAGCGGAGTGTGGTCCAAGCATGCCGTGACTGTCGCAAGACAAAGGCCAAGGTGTGCATTTTCGGTGTTTTGTTTTGCTCTTTTTCACACGGCCCTCTCATGTTACCACCACCTACAACCCCATCCCTTGATCCCTTGCCCCTTTTAGAACACCATCCGTCCCGTCAAATCCCCTTCCCGCATCACATCATCTCGTCTAATTCCTGTCCGTCCCGTGGCTTGCATACCCGTCACCCGTCACCCGTCACCCGTCATCACCTACCCGCCACGGCGTTACCCGTTACCTTACCTACCTACCTGTAACCCCTTACCTGTTACCCATCCCTGAGCCACTCGCATCCAATGTCAAAAGTCAACAACATGCCCGTATCCATGTTACTATTAAATGTCCACGGCTAACTCCAGTCCCGGTTCTTTTTTACCTGTTTTTTCGAGAAATATAGTGCGGCGGCCAACGTCCCAAATGCAACAACTGCAAAGCCAAAGGGCGCCAATGCGGCTACGACGGCGAAGAGGGCCAGTCGCGCTACAAGGCCATGAAGTCGCGTCTCGCGCTGCTCGAGAAGACGATGCAGCAGCTGAGAAATGCAGCTTCCCCCGAGCAGGCCCTGCGGCTGATTGAGGACCTCAAGCAAACCCCTGACGAGTTTTTCACCCCCATGGCGGCTATTGATGAGGATGAGAATATGGGAACGCCACCTGCACCAATTGGAACACCCACTACGACGACTACTTCGATGGTTGCGACTCCTGTTGGTGGAAATACATCTACTACATCTGCAAACACTACTACTGGAACGCCTAGCTTGCAGCATGCTTCCAGCTACAACAGTCTCGACAGCAACAGCGGCAATAGCCAGAACCAGAACCAGAACCAAGGAACGCTTGTCGGACTTGGATCTTTAACGACTACAACCACTGCTTCTTCGTCCCGCCATAACTCCGGCCAGTCTGCTCAGCTGGGACTACAGGAACAACAAGGTCAAGAAGAAAATGCGTCTCCCCTTCGTGATCGAACTTCGGTATCGACCGAACCGCCCGTTTTGTCTCCCACACCGTGGCAGCTGTGGGACACCAATAGCAATGGCAATGGCAACAGCAGCAACGCGGGTGTCGATCCCTCTCCCGGAGGAACCGTAGAAGGAGGACAAGGAGGAGGAGGACATGCAGCAACTTCTATTCACTTCCCAATCCCAGACCTCGAAACCACCAACCTGGCCATAAACGAGTACTTCATCCGCATCGACCGCTTATTCCAGCCTTTTTCGCGGGATGAGCTTAAATCGCTGCATCGAATTGCGTCTGGCGACTCCTCCTCCCCCGCCTTTTCCTTTTCCACTTCCCATATTGACCGCAAACACCAGGAACAAATCGCCCTCAGCTGCCTCACAGCCGTCGCTTCTTTAGGATCTCAATGCCTGATGGACGCACAGACCAACAGTCGGGTGCAAGAACAAGAAGCGTTTGCGAATATCGCGCGCCATTACCTCGATGTGGTCATTGAGCATGAGCCGCTTGATGCGGTGCGGGTGTGTGCGGTGCTCGCGGGAACGGTGATTATGAATAAGCCGGGACTGGCGTTGAGTTATGTTGGTTGGTGTTCCTTGTCCCTTTTTGCTCCTTGCCTTTTGCCTTTTTGCTTGCATTCATGCCCGGCCATCTGCCAGCAGCCCTGCCCTGCGTGAGAGCTTTCCATATCGTTCTTTCGTTCAATCTTCCAGAAGCCACAGCCCAAGTCCCCAGCCCAAGTTTAGGTCATTGCATTACGCTTCTGGAAATGGGACGGAGGAGGGAAAGAGCTTTGCGAGATCCTCATTCAGGGCTAGGAGATCAGAAGATCTACGGTCCATCTCTTCCCGCAAAAACCAAATCGAGATTTACTAACATCGATCCGCACCAGAAATGGGAATAAACCTGTATTCCCGCGTCTACCGTATGAATCACGACCATCACCACACTGCTGCCCATGCTGCTGTCCAAAAACAGGCAGCGCAGCAACTCCTTGAGTTCCAGTTCCAGCAGCAGCAGCAGCACGAACAGGCTTTCACTGCACATGCTAATGCTGCTGCTTCGAGATTTGGCCATGGACATGCACACGGACATCACGGAAGTCTTTTATCTTCCCAAGGCCAAGGAATGATGTCCCCTTCGACTTCTGTGCAGGCGCAGATGGCACTAAGTCCCGTGCCGCATAAAGAGACGATTGGGCATGGAAGGAGTTGGCGGACTTTGGTGTTTTTGGCTAGGTACGTTTTCTTTTCCAGGTTTTTTTTTTTTTTTTTTT